TGAGAGAATTATCTTCTAGTCCCATCTGAAAATGTGTCTTTAACATTCAACATCAAACCTTTTAAAGGGTTTAGAAAAATGCTATTCATCATCAATAGGCACTGGACTCCCAGAACTCATAATGGGCGGGTTCCTCTGAGTCTCTTTACTGCCATGAATTCTGGGATACCGGAGGTCATGCAACGGAAACCTAAAGGTGGGGAGCCGTGCTGAGCAATCAAAGGTATTGACACTTGGAAGGGATCTCAGCGGTCATCTAGTTAGTCCACAGGGCCATAGGGTTTAGAGCTGAAAGGGACCTTAAAGTTCATCCCTCCAATCCCCTCATTGTGATCCAGACCTGTGTGACCAGATGAGGACACTGAGGAACAAAGGTCATACAGGTAATACAAGGCAGGCAGAACTGAGATTTAAACCCACATCCTCTGACTCCATTGATTGTCCCCCCCCATCAAGTTGTCTCAAATCCTTTCAGAAGCATGGATCCAATCCACAACATGCCACACAAATGGTCACCCAACCTCTGCTTGAACCACTTCCAGTGATGGGAAATGGACAGTCTTGTGAGGCAGCCCATTCTCTTTTTGGACAGCAATTTCCTAGTTGTTAAGAAACTCTTCCTTAAAATCTTTTCTTTGTTACTACCCATTAACCCTAGAGCCACATAGACCCTCTTCCACATAACAGTCCTTCAAATATTTGAAGACAGCTAAAATATTTCCCCAAAGTTCTCTGTTCTTCAGGCTACATATCTGTAATGCATTAAAACAATCTTCATACAACAGATTCTAAGTTCTCTCACCATCCTGGCTACCATTTTTTTTTAAACTTGCTCCAGCTTTTTAATCGCCCTCCTAAAATGTACTACCTAGCAATAATACTTGTGTAACCCAGTTCAAAAGTGTGGAGAGACCAAAATAGGCCTGAAGTTCCACAAGAGCATAATATTTAGATGTGGAAGAGAGTATCTTACGTAAGGAACAGTAGGAAGTTCTGCATAGCTAGATCAAAGAGTACATGGAGGGGTATGAGGTTTAAGGAGACTGGAAGGGGGGGGCAGGTTACAACAGAGGATTTCATATTTAAACTTGGAGGTGACAGGGAGCCACTGGAGTTTATTGAGTAGGGGGAAGGGGGTGGCATCAACAGATCTGTGTTTTAGGAAAAGCACTTTGACAGTTGAGTGGAGGAGAGACTGTAGTGGGGAGAGATTTGTGCAGGGAGACTAACCAGCAGGCTACTGCAATAGTCCAGACTTGAGGTGATGAGGGCCTGCACCAGGGTGATGGCAGCATTGGAGAAGGGGGCATATTGGAGAGATGTTGCAAAGGTGAGATCAACAGGTCTTAGCAACAGATTGGGCTGTGAGGGTGAGAATGAGGAGTCAAGTAGGACACCTCGGTTATGAGTCTGGGTAACTGAGTGGGTGGTGGTTTCCTTGACAGTAAGAGGGAAATCCGGAAGTGGGGAAGAGTTTTGGTGGAAAGACAATGAGTTCAATTTTGGATGGGTTGAGTTTAAGATGTCTACAGAACATCCAGTTTGAGATGTCTAATAGGCAGCTGGAGATGTAAGACAGGAGGTCTAGAGAACATTATGAAATGCAAAATGGATAATTTTGATTACATTAAATTGGAAAGTTTTTACACAAAGTCAATGCAACCATTAGGAAGGAAGCAGGGGAAAGAATTTTTACAACCAGTGTCTCTGATTAGGGCCTCATTTCTAATACATATAGAGAACTAAGTCAGATTTATAAGAATACAAATCATTCCCCAATTGATAAATGGTCAAAGGATATGAACAGGCAGTTTTCAGATGAAGAAATTAAAGCTACCTATAGTCATATGAAAAAATGCTCTAAATCACTTTTTTTTTTTTGGGTTAGGCAATGGGGTTAAGTGACTTGCCAGGGTCACACTGATAGTGTCAAGTGTCTGAGGCTAGACTTGAACTCAGGCCCTTCTGACTCCATGGCCAGGGCTCTATCCACTGAACCAACTAGCTGCCCTCTAAATCACTATTGATTAGAGAAACACAAATCAAAACAATGCTGAGGTACCACATCACACCTATCAGATTGGCCAACATGACAAAACAGGAAAATGATAAATGTTGGAGAAGATGTGGGAAAATTGGAACACTAATACATTGTTGGTGGAGTTGTGAACTGATCCAACCATTTGGGAGAACAATTTGGAGCTATGCCCAAAGGGCTATAAAAATATGCATTCCCTTTGATCCAGCAATACCACTTCTAGGGCAGTATCCCAAACAGATCATAAAAATGGGAAAGGGACCCATACATACAAAAATATTTATAGTAGCTCTTTCTGTGGTGGTAAAAAACTGGAAACTGAGGGGATGTCCATCAATTAAGGAACGGCTGAACAAGCTGTGGTATATGAATGTAATGGAATACTATTGTGCAAAAGAAATGATGCACAGGCTGACTTCAGAAAAACCTGGAAAGACTTCCATGAACTGATGCTGACTGAAGTGAGCAGAACCAGGAGAACATTGTACATAGTAACAACCACGTTGTGAGATGACTATCTTGGATAGATTTAGCTCTTTTCAGCAATGCAAGGATCTAAGACATCTCCAAAAATCACATCATGGAAAATGCTCTCCACATCCAGAGAAAGAACTATGGAGTTTGAATGTAGATTGAAGCATACTATTTGCTCTTTTTTTCCTTCTGTTTTGTTTTGTTTCTTCTTTCTTGTGCTTTCTCCTATTGGTTCTAAGTCTTCTTTACAACATGACTCATGTGAAAATATATTTAATAGGAATGTATATGTATAGCCTATATCAGATTGCATGCCTTCTTGGGGAAAGAGGCGGGGAGGGAAGGGAGAAAATTTAAAACTCAAAAGCTTATGAAAATGATTGTTGAAAACTAAAAATAAATAAATAAATTTTAAAAATAAAAAAAAAAGACTGGAGGTCAGAAGAGAGATTAGGGTGGCATGGGTAGATTTGAGAATCATCAGAGGTAGCTTCTGCCCACTCCAGCCCAAATGAGAGGGCTTGACTTGAAGATCTGGAGGGTGCTGCCACACCTAGGGCTCTTATACTTCTCTGATTTTTGCTGGCAGGTGGTCAACAATTATTTCCGGTGGTGATGAGGAAGGTGGGCCCCTTCTTCACTGATTTTTCCCCTCAGTGATGGTTACAGGGGCAGGGTTGGAAACAGGCTTGGTAGTTTCAGGACTACTAACGTTCCTGAGAGTCTTGGTTTGTCTCCAGGAAATGAGTCTGGAGTTTAACCAAATAACCAGTAAGAAGCTATTAAATGTTCCTAACCCAGGTTATAAACTCAGGGCAATTGCTTAAGGAAGATGATCTGGTGATGTACAGAAGTACAAATACAAGGATAAGAGAAGTGGGGAGAAAGGATGTAGGAAAACCAGTTGGTCAACAATTGAGCACCTACTGTGTGCCAGGCTAAGCTGAGCTGTGATAAGCTCTGGGGATGAAAACAAAAGAAAAAAGTCCTTGTCCTTAAATAGAGGGTTTGGCTCCACCCTCCAATGGGAGACCAACGGGAGGGACCTATTCTAGTAGGATCTTAGAAGGATCAATATAACTGAATTCAATTTAATTTAATTTAAAAAAGTATTTGTCAAGTGCCTACTTACTATGTATAAGACAAGGTGCTAAATGATGGGGCTACATAAACAAAAAAAAATCCCACCTGTGACAACCAGATAAGTAATCCCAGCAAGCTACTCTGTGTGCTTCAGGCAACTCCCTAGGGCTCATCTCCAGGAGTCATTCCCACACCATCACAAGCAAAAAAACCCCAAAAAACAACAAAACCACAGGCCCTTCACTAGTTACACAAGGGCATTGGAAAGTCCCAAAACAAAGCTCTGGGTGAGGTGTGAGGGGAGATCCCAGGCTTTAGAGCTGAAAGGAAATTTAGGAAACATCTAGTCCTACCCGCTTATGTGTAAAAAGCAAACAATTGCTGGATGAGTTGGATCAAAACGACCTCGGTTTAGGTCCTGGCTCTGCCATTTTGTATGTTTGATCCTAGGCAACTCGTTGAGCTTCTCTGGGTCCCAGTTTCCTCATGTTAGTGAGCATTTAGTAATCACTCAGTAAGTGCCAGGCATCCTGCTAAGTGCCGTTCCTGCTCTCAGGGCTCACAATAGAATGAGGGAAACTACACAGAAATATGTACAAACAAGCTACATACATGACAAGTGGGAAATGAACAATAGAGGGAAGACTCCCTCTTCCTCCTTTCCAATTCCAAGAGAACCATCATCAAATCAATACTGCCATTGTTTCTGGAAAGAGGTTCTCAAGCTCTTTGCCCCCATCTCCACACACCATCCTAGCGACCTTCCAGAGAATTTGCTGTTCAGTCGTTTCAGTCTTGTCAAGACTCTTCGTGACCCCATTTGGGGTTTTCTTGGCAAAGATACTTGAGTGGTTTGCCATTTCCTTCTCCAGCTCATTTTACAGATGAGGAAACTGAGGCAAAGAGAGTGAAGTGCCTCGCCCAGGGTCACACAGACAGTAAGTGTCTGAGTTCAAATTTGAATTCAGGTCTTCCTAACTCCAGGCTCAGCGCCTTCTCCACTGTGCCACCGAGCGCCTGTTTCAGAGGCCCTCTGTGCCCCTCCTTTTTAAAAAGTTTCCTCCTATTAGAAGGTAAGCTTCTTGAGGGCAGGGGCTAAAAGCTCACTTTGGTATCCATAGAGCTTAAGACTTAGTGCTGTCTAATTCATTCATCAGGGAGGCTGGACTGGAATGATCTCTAAGCACCCTAGTGCTAGCCAAAGACTCCTAGCTACCTGGGGCTCGAGGTCGGAAGGGCCGGTGGGGGGGGTGGAGATGGCGGAGGTAGGCGGGTCCTCCTCGGGCTCCGCCTTCTCCCCGGGAGTTCGACCGTAGCTACTAATCAGGCCGGAGCCCCCTCCCACGCCTGCGCACTAAGGCCCTCCCCGTCCCTCAGGGCCCCGCCCCTCCCCGTCGGCGGCCCCCCGCCCCGGGACCTGTGCGCGCGCACCGCCTCGCGCCCGCTTCCCTCAAAGACTCCAGCGGCGGCCCGCCCGGCTCCTCAGTGACCTGCGCGCTGCGGCTGCGGATGATCACCCTCAGGCGGCAGCACTGACTGGACTGGAGCTGGCACGGTCTGGTAGGTAGGGCCGCGCTTCACTCTGGTCCCAGCAGGGAGCCGAAGCTGGAGCCGGGGGTCGGGCGGGCCGGCCTGGGCTGGGTTAAGCAGAGCAAGGCAACCGGCTTCGGAGCGCGGGGCTGCGGCGCCCGGCATCCTCCCTCCCTTCTCCCTTCTTCCCCCCAACCACCCCCGGCACCCCCCACCACCTTCCCGGCTTCGGTGACGGGCGTCTCGCTGGCCAATCGGGAGCCAGGTGGCTGAGCCTCCTACCCAATGGGCTGCTTGCGTAACGGGCGGGGGGCGGGCCGTCTGGGGCCGCGGGCTCGCGGCTCCTCGCGCTGGCCGCGTGGCCGCCGCCACCGGGGTCTGGGCATCTTGGGGTCCCAGCTTCCTTCCGGTGCGCGGCGAGAGCTGTGGGGAAAGTGGGTGGGGAGACCACTCTGACGGACCCTGTGCATCCACGCCTCCGCTCAGCCCCCACCCCACATCATATTGAACCCCCGGGAACTGGCTCGGAAGACTCCGGGTTTAGGGAGACAGGAGGCTGGAGGGCTAGTTTCGGTTCTGTCACCAACTTGCTGTATGACCTTGGGCAAGTAACTGCCCCCTCTCTGGTCCTTAGTTTTTCTCTCTGTAAAACGGTGATTACAACAACTGCCTCCCTCAGGGTTCTTGTGGGTATCAGGTAATATAGTAGGTGTGGAGGTGTTACCGGAGTCATGGTACTTAGACCCCCGAAGGTATCTTAGCACTTTGCTAATGAGGAAAGGGATTCAGAGTGTGGAAGGGACTTGCTGAAAATCACACAGCTACTAGTGTGTATAATAAAGCTTGGCAAGTCTTTCATCCAGCACCCCTCGGCTACAATCCAGGGCTTTTGCTCCTCTGGACTAATTGTTACCCAAGGATAAATATGGGGGATTCCTGTTCAGAAGAGGGTATTCAGTTAGATAGATTCCAAGAGTAAGGATGCTTGGTACTTGGCTAATTTCACTTTTGCCTATTTCAGGAGGAAATTGGTGCTGCCTGAAAGCTGGGTTAACTTTCTGTGATGCTGTCTCTGAATTCTCCTTTCATCTTATCCCATGGTATCCCATCCATTATCTGCTTCCTGTCCTCTTCACGCTTCTTTGGACTTGCCCTCACTTAGCTGGGTTGTCTTTTACCGACAGCCCCACTTTCTTCCTCTTGCTAGCAGCCTCCTCAAACTTCTAGTGGTTAGAGTCCTATGTCAGGAATCAGGAGGGGCCCAGGGTTTAAGTCCCACTTCTGACACTAGCAGTAAGACCATGGATAAGTAAGTCACGTAAGTTCTTTGAAGAGCATAGGCCTGGGACGTTGGTGCTTGATAAATGCTTGTTGATTGATGACCTATGAAAGGGACATGGGTATAATAATACTTATAGTAAGTAGTTCATTTACATTATTATTGAGAGGTTCAGATGTAATAGTATATGTAAAGTGCTTTACAGTTTTTATGCCATTCAAACATTGATGTTTGTTATTAATAATTAAGAAGAAGGAAGGATCTTTGAATTCCGATATGGGAGTTACTTGAGCCACTTGAGATGAGTGACTTGCCCAGAGTCACATAGCCATTATCAGAGGCTAAATTTGACCTCCTGTCTTCTGATTCCAGCACTTTATTTGCTATGGCATACCATCCATTTTAATTCAAATAGTCCCTATTAGTTAATAATAGCTCATTTCTTTATCCCTCAAGGCCTTAGGAATTGCTTTCTTCATAGCAACACTTTTCAGTACTTATAGTTACAGAGCATTTTATATATCCATCTCATTTTAACCTCACAAGATCCTACTGCCATAGTTAATACAAGTATGATTAGCACCGACCGTCCTATTGGACTGGGTTCAGTGTGTCTAGGGACTTTTGTCCATTTATGCATCAGCAAGTAAACAGTGGAGCTGAGGCTTAAACTAAGACCAAGCTAATTTTTCATTTTACTATTCTGCTTCTAACATAGGTGAATGTGTTTTATTGTGGACAAAACTGTTGCAAATGCATATTCTCTGATGCCTCTATTTTTCTTGGGATCTGTGATCTTTTTATTATAGGGAGGTTTATGGCAAGCTAATTGTTTTTAATGTGAAAGAACTATCTTTTTAATTAAAGAGAATTCCAGGTTTGTATCTCATAGAATCTCAGAGTTAGAAAGGACCTAAGAAGCCAGCAAAACTAACCTATATTTAACCTATATGAACCTATTAGCTGTGTGACCCCATCAGCCTCAGTTTCCTTATCTGTCAAATGAGGGTGATAATAGCACCTAGGTTGTTGTGAGGTGAAAATGAGATAATATGGTTATAGTGCTTTGCAAACCTTACAGGATCATAGAAATGCTAGCTAATAGTAGCCAGGAATACCTGTTAGAGCATTGCTGACAAGTTGGCCGGCCATCTAGCATCTGCTTGGATTTGTTTTGGTGAGAGAAAAGCCTACTACAGCTCCAAAGACAGCCTCTTTTGTTTTTTGATGGCCCTAATCAGTTCAAAGCTTTTCCCTTTTTTCCAAGCCTATATCTACCTATTGTAACTGGCAGGTGCTATTCCTCATTCTGCCCTCTGGGGCCAGGCACAAAAAAATCTATTTCCTCTTCCACATGACAGCCTTCATAAAGTTATACAGCTAGATCATATACTTAAAGACAGTCCTCATGTCCTCCCTGAAGCCTTCTTTTGCTGGGCTGCATGTTCCAGCTTCCTTCTGCTAGTGGTCATCTGGCTTAGCTTCCCTGCCTCAGCATCCTGGTCACTCCACTTCTTTTCTAGTATAGCAGTTTTTTTAGAATGTTAAAGCAAGTCTCTTTTTCCTGGTGAAACACAGTGTTTTAGTATGGGCTCGCAGTGGACTTTGTGTATCAACTGGGGATCAGCTTAGCTAAATTGAGAGAAGTTAGCCTGCTAGGTTAGCACAGGATAATGTATTTTCCTGTTGAAGCAGTCCTTCAAGGCTGCCCAGTGAATTGCTTAGGGAATGTGATCTGTATCTGTGGAAATCATGTGACTTACATTGAACTTCAATAAAAATTGATCGAAATATTAATATTGATGTTAGAACATCCGTACCTTGGCATAAAACATTCTGGGAACGTAATCTGGTTCTGTTAAGTTTTCTAGGTGGTGCTTTGGAGGTTTAGTGGGACGTCGGGACAGCTCCATGCTGTTGGCTGAATCTTTCTCCATTTAAGGAAAATTTGTCAGTGGGTGCCAGTACATTAGTGTTTGGCTCTCAAAATGTACCCGAGTGCTCGGTTCTGAAATTGTTCATCATATATTTAGAACTGGGATTTCTGAATTAATTCACAAATATGTCAAAACTTTATGGAAAATCTACGCTAATTTCATCATACTCTTTTCTGCACGTATTTAATCAAAGGTGGAATGTAATTATCAATTTTATTTCATGTCAGTATAGTATTTTCTCCAAAATTTGGTCTTCTAAAAATATTTTAATGCTACTCATCAGTGTCACTTCCTGGTGATTTTGGGATCCCTTGTAATAAATAATTTATTTTTATTCTAAAAAAGACTTTTTTTTCCCTTCTTCCCTCAGGTCTTTTTGAATAAAATGAAGTACATTCTAGTCACTGGTGGTGTTATCTCAGGAATTGGAAAGGGGATCATTGCCAGTAGCATTGGGACAATTTTGAAATCATGTGGCTTACATGTAACTTCAATTAAAATTGACCCATATATCAATATTGATGCCGGAACATTCTCTCCTTATGAGCACGGTAAGCAGCATCTCTCTTTTTTTTTTTTAAACAGTACTGATATGTAGGAATATAGGGAAAAAGTCCTTTTACAAAACATGTTGAGTTGTTACGGGTACTCTTGACTAGCAGGATATTTTCTTTCTCAGCAGGTCGGAAAGAGACTGTCTTAGGATATTCAAAGATGTGGGCCCTGTGGGAGCTAAAGTAGCAAGACTCCTTTTGGTAGCTGAATTTGACAGTTGTTGACAGGACTGCTGAACATGGATTTTTGTAGCTAAGCTGGGTTTGGTGTTAAAACATTGTACAGCTGAAAGTTTTCAGACCCAGGATCTTGAGAAGCAGAGCCCACACATTTAAGAATTTAAAGAAACTAGACATTTGGAACTTTGGAAGATAGGAAGCTGAAGTTCCACCAACTTCCTGGGTTATTGACTGTCCATAGATTATGATTATATACTCTCTGATGCCTCTATTTTTCTTGGGATCTATGATCTTTTTATTATAGAAAGAGGTTTATGGCAAGTTAATTTTTTTGTTGTTGTTCATTTATTGTTTTTTTTGTGAGGCAGTCGGGTCACACAGTGCCCAGGGTCACACAGCTAGCAAGTGTCAAATGTCTGAGGCTAGATTTGAACTCAGGTCCTCCTGACTCTGGGGCTGGTGCTCTATCCACTGTGCCATCTTGCTGCCCCCTGCTTGAATCTTTTTGTGGTACAGCTAGGTAGCACAGTGGATAGAGTGCTGTAGTTGGAGTCAGGAGGACCGGAATTCAAATCCTGCCTTATACTAGCCATTTACTAGCTGTGTGACTGTGGGCAAGTCATCTCAGTTTCCTCTGTCAAATGAGGATGATGGTATCAGCCTTCTAGGGTTTCTGTAAGTCTTAAGTAAAGTGTTTTGCAAGCCATAAAGGGCTACATAAATGCTTTGTTATTATTTGGATTTAGACTTGCTATAACTCCTGGACTGAAACCTAAGTGATTACCTAAATGGAGATGTGTGCAGCACATGCGCAGCGTGCTCGCGAAAGCTGACTGAAGTTGGGTTCTTTCCCCCCACACTGTAAATGTGTTTTGTTGACCAGTTAGTGTGATTATAACATCTTTTTTTCTATCAAATACTTCCGAAGAGTATTTTCAAATTATTGTTCCAAATATTACACAGTTTATTATTTTAGAGTCAAATCAGTAAGCATTTATTAAGCTCCTACTATGTGCTAAGGTTTAGGGATACCAAGAAATGGGAAAACAGGCCATGCCCTCAAGAAGCTTACAGGCTGATGGGGGAGACAACATGTGAATGGCTGTGTACAAACAAGGTATAGACAGGATAAATTGGAGATGATTTTAGTGGGAAGGCACTAGCGTCAACGGGGATCAGGAAAGGCTTCTTGTAGATTTTATCTGGGACCTACCTGAAGAAGCTTGGAGGCAGAGAAGAGGAGGGAGAGAATTCTAGGCATTGAGGGTAGCCAGTGAAAATGCGTGGAGGCAGGAGATGAAATGAAGTCTTTACTGTAGAACATCAAGGCAGCCAGTGTCACTGAACAGTGATGCCCTGTTGTGGCATAAAAGTGACTTTGGGCTCTCTGAGGCTTTGCTGGAAAAGGAAGCTGTGAGTACAGGTCCGGAAGTGGTCTGTATGTCTGAGGAGCAGCCTAGCAAAGTTGGAAGAGGGTTGGTCACTAGGTGATGAATTTTTTGGAACTGGTAAAGCCTAAGGTATCAGCTGCCTTGGTGGAGGGGGGAATCCACATAGATGACTACTAGAGCTTGGATCACATGCGCTTTTCAAAGTTCTGATCTATAACTTGGTGTCCTTTTTAAAGGGGGCGTGGGAAACAGTAGCATATTTTTGTATCACATTCTTGTGAAATGAGCCAGGCCATCATGACTGACATCTGTCACCCTGTGAGTTGTTGTTCAAATTTATATATATGCTTCCAAGAAATCCACAGATGTTTAGTACCTACTCTGTGCCAGGCACTGAGGACATAGACAAAAATGAAACCGTACTATTCCTCAAGGGATTTACGTTCTAATAAGTGGATATATCATGTACATGAGAACGCACAAAGTAACAAAATAGGGAGAGGGATTGTTTATTTAGTATCTGTTGGAGGAGGGTCCTTTATCCCTCTGTGTAGTTTTTGTTTTTCTGTCCAGTGATGTTTCTGCGTTAAGGAAAGACGTACAAAAATCATCCTGAAACAAAGTGACAAGTGATTTTTCTATTCAAACTGCTGCGGTACTCTGTGATTACTAACCTGAACTTTTTCAACATTTTCCTCAGGTGAAGTTTTTGTACTTGATGATGGTGGGGAGGTAGACCTTGACCTGGGCAATTATGAACGGTTCCTTGACATCCGTCTCACCAAGGACAATAACCTGACCACTGGAAAGATTTACCAATATGTTATTAACAAGGAGCGTAAAGGAGACTACTTGGGAAAAACGGTTCAAGGTACTAATGGATGTTCCTTTGGTTTGTGGTCCGAGTTAATATTGGCTATCTCTTTGGTTTAGGGCATATATCACCACCTCTCTGTCTGGAGACAGAAAGGACTCCCCAGCGGTTGCTTTGTCATTAATTGCTCATGTTCTTTTTGTGGCTCTAGTATGTTTCCATGTAATATCAAGGAGTTCCTTCAAGTGATAAGGTGAACCTGAATGGCTTAGAAATAATACGTTTGCCTTTAATTGCATGTTAATCACTTAAAGCTCATTCTTAGTGGAAGTGCCATCAAAATGAATTGAAAGAAGCGCCTGCTATGGATTGCATTCTCATAAGCTGAAGCCACCACTTGAGGCTGACTAACATAACTCATCTGAACCCAAATGCCTTTTATAGAGAAATTCAGTGATAGATGTGGAACGGTGAAGGTGACTGAGTAAGGGTAATAAAGGCTAGGGCGTGTGGGTTAGACAGTGTGTGGAATTTCCTCACGGTGGATGGTAAGTTTAATACTTTATATAATGTGTAAGCCTTGAGATAAATGTTTTAGTAAGTAGTCTTTCCCTTTTGGGTCTAGACTGTGATTAGAGAATAGTCCATAACATGTAGGTCACACAGGGCCATGCTCCTTTTTGAAGGCCTTTGCTACACTGAATAGCATTTTTATCAGTGTAATATAATGGAAAGAGCACTGGATATGGTGTCGGAGCCTTGGGATGTACATCTTGCCACATATTACCAGATTCAGACTTGCATAGTACTCTGTTTTGCCTTGGTCAAATCCAGAATCAACTGAATTTCAGAGAAGAGACCACCACACCTGAACAAGAATCCCTTCTAGAACATGTCCAGTAATTCAGTCTTTGCTAGAAACCTCCAGGAAGAAGGAATTCTCTACTTCCTATACCACTTGGGCAGCCCTAATTGTTGGAAAGTTTTTCCTAACATCAAGCAAAAATTTGCTTCTTTGGAACTTCCACTCATGATTCTTAGTTTTTGCTCTCTAGGGTCAAGCAGAACAAATCTAATTCCTTTTTCACATGACAATAGACTTTCAAATACTTAAGCACAGCATTATCTGCTCCCCACCCCAACCCCAGTTTTATCTTTTGGCTAAACATAGAACTCCCTCAACTGATCCTCATGTGGTATGACCTAGACCGTATGCCATCCTGGTCATCTTTCTCCACTGTTTGCTTTCCAGCTTATTAATGTCCTTCCTAAAATTTGCACCGCCCCTCCCCACAGCTGAACACAGTACCAGGGGAATACCTTCTGGTCCTGTTTACCAGTGGTGTCAAATTCAAATACAGACAGATCCCAGAAAACCACAAATTAACATTATCTAAGTTTTAACCCCCCTTCTGGCCTTTAGTTGTAAAGTTGATTTCTTAAATGTTATAAACTTCATCTTATTGGACTTGGTTCAGTATTCCAGCCTGTCAGCGCCTTTTTGAATTTTGATGGTTAGCAATACTCCCCAACTTTTTGTCACCTGCAAATTTGAAAGCATGCCATTTATGCTCTTTTCTGAATTTTTAATAAACATGTTTAACACATACATTTCAAACTAGGTCATTCCACCAGAGATTTCCTTCTGTGTTGTCAAACTATTATTGTTGCCCACTGACTCCTCTTGAGAAGTCAGGCTCTTCAAGCAGTTCTTTGATTTTTTTCCTTTAAATTATTCAAAGCCAAGTCTTGAACATCAGTACAACTAAATTTGCTGAGTAATTCTGTACTGATTAACTTAAATCCAAAGTGTCATCTTGATTTCCAGTCTCTTCCCTCTAAGACCTCATTAGGATTCTTTGTCCATTTTCCTTTATGTGGTCCTAGTAATATGTACTTCATTCTTCTGGTTCTGTTTCACTTTGGTATTATTTCACAAAGGCTTTTCCAGATTTCCTTGTATTTGTTAGTCTTAATTACATTACAGTGTTCCATTACGTCAATTTACCACAGTTTATTTAAAATCATTCTCCTGTTGATGGGCTTTTAGTTTGTTTCCACTTTTTCATGATTATGTATATTGTCATTAAAATCTTTGAACAAGTAGCTCATTGAAGCAGTTTTGAATCCACCTAACTATACTATCACATTCTCCACCTTTCTGTCTCCTCCATAGTAGCATCAGAGACATTGTCAGATGCTTTGTTAAAACCTTAACTAAATGACTTCTAGAGCACGGAACAGGTCTGGCAATCTAGTAACCTCTAGGAAGCCTGCCAAAAGGGAATGAGCTTAGTTTGACCTGTTCTTGAGGAAGCCATGCTGGATCTTTGATCAACACTTCCTCTCCTACATGACCACTTAACCTCTGGGCCTTGGTTTGGTTCTTACTGAAAATGAAGGTGTGCTAGACTGGATCTTTGAGGTCCTTTAGAACTCCAGAGCCTATGATCCTGTTATATCATAGGTGCGATGGCACTCTCCTAGGTTCTGTAGAAAATGAGCTAAACTGTTTGGGCCCCAAGGAATTAATTAATGATTTTAGCCAATTTATTATACTGTAGGTCAGTTTTCTACTTGCCTTGTAAACCTGGACCATAGTGGTATCTAGGCTAGGCCAAGTGAGAGGAATTCTGTTCCTTGGGAATTACAAATTTGATGCATTTTGTAGCATTTTTTTTAACCTCAGCCTCTACTCTAAAAGGTGGCCTCTTTTCCCCCATCCCCTCAAAGTTTATCACAAAAGACCTATGGTCTTATTTTTGAATCTGGATTCCATTCATCTGCCTTCTCCTTCTGTATGGTCTAGTCGTCGTACTCCCCACTTGAAAGGGTTGGAACATTGTTAGCTTGGCAGACATGGGAAAAGCTGTGTCACACAGGACACAGGACACACAGTGGGACAGTGTGTGAGAGCAGAGCTGTGTGTGGCAGAGGAGTGGCCTGGAGGGATGGACAGGCTTAAGGATTTGATGTTGCAGGGTATTGTGCTTATTTACCCCAAGGTTAATTAGCTTGAATTTGATTCTTTAATATTTTGTGTTCCACCCTTTGATTTACTTGGAGCAGATAAAGGTCAGTGACTTGGTTCAAAAATAAGTTTTATCTGTTTAGAGTAGTATGATTGCTATTGGAAAAGTCTTTAGTTGCACATTTCTTCCTTTTTCTAGTTGTCCCTCACATCACAGATGCAATACAAGAGTGGGTGATGAGACAGGCATTAATTCCGGTAGATGAAGATGGCATAGAACCTCAAGTGTGCGTGATTGAGGTTTGTACATTCTTCTAATTTTCCTGAGTCCTAGGCCACCTGTGGACACAGCTTTATCTTATATATCTCCCTAGCCAGCCCTGGACATCGAGCAAAACATATACAAAAACAATGGAAGTGCTGAAACCTCCTGCCTATCTCTATATTGTTCCAGCTGAAAGGAAGGTAGCACTAATTGGGATTGCCAGCTCACACACCTATAACTCAAATGTTACCTTGAACAAGTCACTTTTCCTCCTGTATGAAATGAGGATGAAAATACTTGTACCACCTACTCCACTGTGTGGAAAGCCCTTTGTAAATTTTAAAGGCTGTAGAGATAGGAGCTCTCTTAGTGATGCTCTGTGTAAGTCCACCGTCTTACTGTGGATGTGATGCTGAGTTCTGGAAAGGCTTTGCGTCCGGGTGAGGCAGTGCTGTATGCATGTGTCCAAGGACCAGTCACCAACGAGATTGGCCATGAGGTGATTGTTTTGGCCATGGTCACCCACAAAGGCTGAGGGGTTGAGATCTACCCTTGGGTATCCACACTGATGAAATCATGGCCCTTGGAATTTGGAGGCTATAGCAACATGAAGACTCTGGTAAGTAATGAGGCACCGGTAAACTGTGGTAGAATGAGTGTACGCACTGATAAATCACAGAGCTTTAAAGTACAAGAAGTCAGTCTTAGTAGTAGATATTTTCTTAAATAAAGATATAATTTATATTAACATTTCTTAAGCTAATTTGACCATAGAAATGTTGAAGTGTTACTATTTTTGTTGCTATTAATTATTGTAAGAAATAATAACCACTCCAACTATTATCATCTCAATGTAATTTCAAAGCTAGGAGGATTCCAATGTTCCAGCTCTCTCGGTTTGCATTCTGCAGTCACGGTTTATGGCTAACCTGGGAGAAAGAGTTAGGGAGATTTCTTTGTGCCTGCCCCTTTCACATAGAGGGTTGCTTGTCCCTTTCTTGCCTAATTTTGTTTTTCTCTGAGAAGAGAGAGTGTGGAGATAGCCAGAATAGCCTTGGGGAAGAATAATCTTGTCCAAAATAAGTGACATTGCAGCTCAAGGAAATGTGGTATTCCTGATAATTGACAGTGTATACTGTTTCAGAGAATCCATTGCTATTTGGCTTATTTGATTGAGATAACAGATTTTTAATAAACTGTTACTCAGAGAGACAGGGAAATGGGAAAATAGAGGAAGGCTTAATGATGTTTTTCTAAAATTACTTTGTGCTTCCAGCTTGGAGGGACGGTAGGAGATATAGAAAGCATGCACTTCATTGAAGCCTTCCGCCAGTTTCAATTCAAAGTCAAACGAGAAAACTTCTGCAACATTCATGTCAGCCTCGTTCCACAGGTGAGGTGCTAGAAACTCCAGGAGGAACCTGAGAAGGTGGAGATGAGTGTTTGTACGCTAAGGAGTGGTTGGATTTTGTCTTCTATTCCATAGGAAAAAGGCAAGAGAAAGAACTGATTCTTTTGGCTGTTAGAGCAAATGAGAACCATGCACATAATCAATTTATCTTCCTACTTTTAGCATTTAAGGAAAATGTCAACTTCTCAATTCCATGTATAAAGAAGACTTTTTTTCCTCTTGTAAAATAGCCAAGCTCTACAGGGGAACAGAAGACTAAACCTACCCAGAATAGTGTTCGTGAACTCAGAGGACTTGGACTTTCACCAGATTTGGTAATTTTTCTAAATCCTTTGTACTAGATTAAATTTTAGTCTTAAATGTGTGGCTAAAATTATTCTTAGCTAGAAATGAACAAAAACTTTTTTTGGTGGGTTGGGATAATTTTAATGCCTCTTAATAATCGAGTGCCCTCTAAAATCATATGACGCATGCTTGGTGTAGGCATGCTTCCTCAGCTCTTGAAGCTCCATACCAGCTCTGACTGGCATATCTTGTTTAGCCGTTTCAGTTGTGTCTGACTCTTCATAACCCCATTTTAGGGTTTTCTTGGCAAAGATACTAGAGTGTTTTGCCAGCTCTTTTTACAGATGAGGAAACTGAGGCAAACAGGTGAAGTGACTTGCCCAGGGTCACACAGCTAGTGTCTGACTCAGGAAGATGAGTCTTTCTGAGTCCAGGCCTGACAATCTGTCCACTGTGCTAGCTGTCCCTCGTAGCATATCTTATCAGGCTAGAAAGATTTGAGTACGGGCCTGACAGTGGGCTTTTCATCAGGATCCATTGCTTCTGGCCAGCCAAGCTGAGTGCACAATACCCTAATCACCAGAATGTTGGCATATTGCTTTGGCTGTGTTACTCTGTCGTACAGGGGATGTGAGCTGTGTTGGTGTGGATCAATTGCACATGCTAATAATATTGTAGATCCTTGAGGTATAAGTATGTTTGTTAATAATAAAAATTTCTTCAATGACATTATACTTTATGGTAACATTTTCCAAATTAATCCCTAGGACAAAGGTGCACTGGGCAAATTTTGGAGCAGAGTAGCAGATGTTAAACCTTATCTTCTTATTCCTTTCCCCCAAAAGGTCACATAATTTTAATACATAGCATTGTGGAGGGCACTGTATCGCTGACATTCTGGTTTTCCCACATAGAGCTCCCCGTTTTGGGGAACCACTCACAGTTCACAGAACATGTTTTGGAAAGTGTGTTGTGTTGTTTTGTGCACTATCCTACATTTGATTTTTCTTCTCTGTTAATATCACTTAAAAAGCAATAGGCATTTCACTCTTGTAGCTCATTAAATAGTCTTCATTGGATTCTCATTTCTTGCCCTGCCTTCAGTTTTGGAGCTGTGAAATTTAGCTGAAAAGAGATAAGGGGGCATTTTCAAGTTTCTCCAGAATCTGGTAGGGACATCTATACACTGTCTGTAATGAAATGATAACCTTTTTGCAGCAGCGTGAATAACAGTATTTGTGTTTTTAATTTCCTCTGCTAAATGGTGTCCTCATTTTTTGGGCTAGGTGGTGTGCAGGTGCTCCAATCCTCTTGACACCTCAGTGAAGGAGAAGATATCCATGTTCTGTCATGTCGAGCCAGAGCAAGTAAGTGTTTGGTCCCAGATGCTCTTTAGGGAATTGAGTAGGATAAGAGTTAGTTCACAGCTTGAGTCAATAAGCATTTCCTAGAATTACTGTATTTTTAAACTTTATACACACTCTTGGCTGAGGGGACCTTTGTCCCTTTTTGTGTATGGAATGATATAATGGAAGGGATGCTGGGTTTGGAATCAGAACGCCCCTTCCACTTAGTAGTTGTATGACCATGGGTAAGTCCTTTAACTTCTGGGTAACTGTCTTGTGTATATCTCACATGGCTAGTATGAGGCTGGTATGCAGTGAAAAAGTCCTTTGCAAAGAGTGCTAGTGAAATGTAGGGGCAAGGGTTGTTATTTCTGTTAATGGAGGGGTCATTGCTGTTGCCCTGACCAATTCACACTAAAGTTATTTCTAGGGATCCCTTTGATTGGTATAAGGGACTGCCAGGATCTGACTCTGGGACCTCTGGGACTCAGTTTCCCCATATATAAAATGAAGGGATTGAACCACTAGATGATCTTTAAGGTCTCTTCCAGCCTTAAGGTTCTGTAATTTTGTGTGTTTAAAGTCATCACATTTGATTTTGGATTGTGTTTATACACTTTGCATATGGGTGTTTGATAGAATTTATAACATTTCCGCATAATGAAGCTCTGCTGAAGCATTCCAGAGGGATATGGAAAGCTGTCCAGCTTCCCTGTTAGCAAACATTTCTTGACTATCTACTACATGTGAGATGCTTTTGTGCACTGTGAGATACAAAGCTGTTTACTTCAGGCTTCCTCTGTGGGCAGCAGAAGGGATGGCAGGGAGGTATGAGTCCAGACTATTTTAGCTTCTGTTAGTCTGTAGGCTATACTTGGAGTAAGAGTAAATTAAGGTAGGGTGTTATTTTTAGAAATAAAAGCGTCTAACTGAAGTACATACATTTCAGTTTAATTGGATACCTTAGTGGTAATTTCTTTTGTGCATTGTTCCTAGTGAATTCTGCAGGCAGTTTGGGCCACTTTGGATTGAATCAGGTTTAGCAGAGTGTATAGATTGACTTTGATTTTCATTATTTTCAGATCTCCTCTTCCTGTAGTTTTTCAATAATAAAAAGAAATTACATAAAAATCTGCACTTTATGTAGTTCATAGGAGACGGATGTGCCAGGGGCTCATCTCTGCCTTGCCCAGAGAGGTACGGTTTTTGATACCTGATGAGAAATATGGTCACCCTGCCTCCTTCAGATGATGGGTGTCTTCAGGGGTTGTTGAATGACTGACACATTCTGTGTGTGTTTGCACACAACGTAGGAGATTTGGCTGCTCATCCCAGCCACTGACTAATTAGGTGACCTTGGGTTGGTCCAGTATAGTACTGTATGAAGTGCCTTGGACTAGCAGTCAGGAGACCTGACTGACTTCTTCCTGTCTCTTCACTGACTTACTGTGGACAAGTCAGTTTTCCTGGATTGTCATCAAATGAGCAGTTTTCAGATGTTAACTAGTCCACCTACTTCTGCTTTGATTAATAATCTTTCTAGTTCTCAGTTTTAAAGTGGAGGAGTTGAGCTAATTGATTTCCCTTCCAGCTTTAACAATGTACAGATAAGCAGTCAGGTAACTTTTGCTTGAAAACTTTCAAGTGGGAGAATCCCACCACCTCTCAGGGCAGCCTTCGGTATGAATTGGAGCAAGCCACTTGATCTCTGTACCCCAGTTTCCTCATGTAATTCCTTGTACTATCTTTCTCTCACTTCTTGTGAGGAAAGAGCTTTGTAAACGTTAGTGAAAGTCCACCATTGTGGCCAGAAAAAAAAATTCATATGGTTATAAAGGATGTGAAGTTATAAAGGATAGTACATGGTTTATTAGCATTAAAGAGAAATGGCAATGTATTTTTTACATTCATCTAATTGTACTTTATACTTTGGAGAGCAGGCATTACCAGTCTCATCCTCCTCCTATAGACAGAAATGCCAATTCTTAGCACTTAAAATGACTAACTTGCTGGCAGGAAGTAGGTTCACAAATTTCTTTTGCTCCCAGTCTGAGATGCAATACCAGGACAGTCTGTAAAGAAGTGTCTGAGGCTGGTAGGGGCCCAGCTCTATAATTCTCATTAATGGGTCTGTCCTTCAGAAGCCATTTAGATTCTTTGAAGACTTAACAGTAATGGAAAACTCACTCCTTTCTAAGGCAGCCCATTCTACTTTGGGGATTCTTTCATTATTAGACCTTCCCCCCCCCCACTTTCTTGCTGTCCCAGTTCCATTAATCTACTTCTCTGAGGCTGGTCCAGACTGATAACCATCTCGTCCAATTAAACACTTAATTAGAAAAAAAAATCAATTAGGGGCCTGTGCACCAGAAGCCCCTTACAAATACCACACGTCAAGGACACATGAAATAATAACCAGTTTCTGGCACAGGAAGGGTCACTTTATCATGTCCTGGAAAGGGGACACTTAACCCTTAACTCTACCAAAGCAGAACCAAAAGGTCTCTGCTGTTTGAGACTGAAGTAGGTGTTATTATTATTATTATTATTCTCATTTTACAGATGAGGAAACTGAGTTAGAAGTTAAGTGACTTGCCCAAGGTCACAAAGATAGTAAATGTCTGAGGCAGGATTCAAGCTTGGGTCTTCCTAAAGGCCTGTTTTCTATCTACTGTACTGCATAGCTGCTCTGCTTTGGGTTCAAGTTAGGGTGATTGGAGAAGACTGTTGACGGTTCCTATCAGAGATAACCAAGACAGACTAGATACTGGTGTAGTACATGGAGCCAGGCACGTAAATATTTTGTCATTCATTCATATCATCCCTCCGACTGGGTCCAAGTCATCAAGCATTTAATAAGTACTTGCTCCATGCACTGGAGAGAGGAGAAAACGGACCCTGCCCTCAAGGAGCTCACATGCTAATGGGGGAGACATCATGTAAACAATCCATGCACAGACAAGAAACGGTAAATTGGAAGTGATCTCAGAGGGAAGGCACTAGCAGTGGAGGTGGGGAAGGACCTAGAAAGGCTTTTTGCAAAAGGCAGAATTTGAACTGAGTCTTGAAGGAAGCCAAGTCACAGAGATGAGAAGGGAATATCTGTTCCAGGCCTGGGGGACAGCCATTCGAAAGACAAAGAGATGGAAGATGGGACTGTGTTATGTCAGGAAAAACAAGGGGCTGGTATTGCAAGATCCTAGGGCATGTGGAAGGGAGTAAGGTATAAGAAGACGGGCAGGTTGGAAGGAACCAGGTTGTGAAGGACTTTAAAAGCCAAGCAGAATTTTACAATTGATTCTAGAAGTAATAGGGAGCCACTGGAGATTACTGAGCAAGGGATGATGTGGTTCGTCCTACACATTAACTTTAGGAAGATCACTTTGGTAGCTGAGTGGAGGATGGATTGGAGTGGAGAGAGATTTCAGGCAGGGAGACCAATCAGAAGCCTGTTGCAGTAGACCAGGCAGGAAGTGATGAGGGCTGTATCAGAGTGTACAGAAATACAGGGTGGTCAGGCTGTATCGGAGGAGAGGAGACATATACAAGAGACGTTGCCAAGGTACAATCAACAGGACTTGGCATAATATTGGCTATGAGAGATTGAGGGAAAGGAAGGATTTGAGTTGTGTTACCTAGATTGGGAACCTGGGTGACTGGAAGATGGTGATACTAATGATCATGAAGAAAATCAGCTTTGGGTGAAAGATAGATGAGTTCAACTTTGGACATAGTGAGTGTAAAATTTCTATGGAATATCCATTTCTATGGAATATCCATGTCCAATAGGCAGTAGGAGATACAAGACTGGAAATCAAAAGAGATGTTAGAGCTGGATAAACAGAACTGAGAATAATCTGCATAGAGGTGATAATTTAATCCATGAGAACTGATAAGCTTACAAAGCAAGATAAGTTAGGGGGAGAAAAGGGCCCAGACACAGAATCTTGAGGGGTACTCATGGTTTATGGGCATGACCTGGATGAGGATCCAGCACAATAGACTGAAAAGGAGCAGCCAGCTGGGAGGGAAAGAAGCAGGAGAGAGTAAAGCCATGAAAACTAAAGAGAACCAACCTTCAGCCTTCAGTCTTGAATGTTTTATAGTAGTGATTCTAGGTCTAGTTTGAATGTTCTACATCCTCAATGATCTTCCCTAGTAATTTTTTTTTTTTTTAGGCAGTTGGGGTTAAGTGACTTGCCCGGGTCACTCAGCTAATAAGTGTCAAGTGTTTGGTCTGGGGCCGGATTTGAAACTCAGGTCCTCCTGACTTCAGGGCTGGTGCTCTATCCACTGCGCCACCTAGCTGCCCCCCCTAGTAATTCTTTAAAAATATTTTTATTGATATACTTTGACTGCATTGCCTAGATTTCACTCTGTATTCCACCTTTTTTCCGTGCCCTGCTGAGAGCCAACTATCATAATAAAAAATTTCTTAAAAGAAAAATGGAAGAAGGGAAAAAATCCCACTGATCAATACATCAAAAGAAGCTGGCCTTCTGTACATGTTCCACAACTGTAGGTTTGGATTTCTGTCCCTGCAAAGGAACAGGTTCCTGAGTAACTCTTTCCCAGGGTTCAGGCAATTTGCCCATCGAGTTCTTTTCCCTTGACACTGGCTGACTCTGCCCCGTCTCAGCCTTGTAGGTACCTGCTCTGGGCACTAGGGGGAGATAGTTCAGATAAAATATGAGATCCCTGACCTCATGGAGAACTCATTCCAGCGCGGGGGATAAGACACAGCCACAGATAACTATAATATACAATGTTATTAATATGTTAACCTTCATTCATATGATACCTTAAATTTATTAAATACTTTCCTCGTGACTACCAAGTGTTCTTCCTATAGATGAGTAAATTGGTTCCAACATGCTCCTACTCAACAAGCGTCAGAATCCAGAGAGGGACACTAGGGGCAAGCACTGTGAAGTCCAGAGAATAGGCTGTAACTATTAGGAAGGGTCAGGGAAGACTTCCCAGGAGAACTGGGTGTTTGGCTTCTAGGTTACTTTCTTTCTTGATCTGAGTTTTAAAGGAAACGGAATTCTGAGAGGTGGTGGTGAGGAGGAATTGCACCCCAGGCATTTGGGATAGCTAGTGCAAAAGGTAGGGAGGTGGGGAATGGAGCGTCCTTTGGGAAGAATATAGTGAAAGCCAGGCTGGCCGGTTGGCAGGGCAACAGAAGGGGAGTGATGTGTACCAACATTGGAAAGGTAGGTTGGGGCCAGCTTGTGATGAGCTTTTTAAAAACCAAACCTTTAAAAGTCTTTGAGGAAGGAATTTAGCCAGAAAATACTGACTGGTCCCACGACCTTAACTGATCTGTGTAGAACCATAATCGTGGCTTAGTGGGTCATTCTCCCATCTCACTCATTTGGCTTCCTATACTTATACATACACATGTTGTCTCAGGCCTAGTCTCCTTAACTAGGAGTATTGCCTTCCTGGTCCCTCTGACTCTCTAGGACCAGTGGTCTTTGGCCAGGCCCTAGTTTAGTTATCTTTGGTGGGATGACTTCTTGGAAAGATAACAAGGGTTACAAACCATGCCTGGTATAATTTCCTTCATTGGGGAAGTTCCTTTTATACTAGTCTTCCAGGTTCCCATGATTAGAGCTAGATCCAAGTTGGTTTCCTCACCCTTTCCTTGTGTCTCTCCCCTGTTGCCTGAGAGTTTCCATCTTCTCATCAAAGATAATGGTCAATTCCAGAAATGTTCACAGACAACTTATCAGTAGATTTTTCTAACTCAAATTTACCAATGATACCACTAGCAGATCCTAGGCATAGAAGCACTGTCATTTTTCTTATGGAAGTTTGCAGAATCTTAGAGCAGGAAGGAAGCTCAGTGGCATTTGAATCCAAATTGATACTGATGAGGAGATGCCATCCCCATACCTGTTCTCCTATTACATCTTGAGGCCAGGACTGCTTCTAAACTGGAGTCTTATCTACTAGCTTTAGCTCTGTGTTTCGGTGCATGCTTTACTCCTAGAGAACCTTTTTTAAAAAATCATAATTTGGGTCCACATGAGTCAAAATGGGCCCAGCTGGGTTCAGGGGGTGAGGGGAAAGGAGTCAGTTCCATGTTTATCTTGAGATATTTGGGCTGATCGTGAAGCTCCTATGGCAGGCTTCAGAAATGTAGGCTTTCTCAATAACCATGGCATCAGCTCTGGGATTAGTATTGAGGCCCCAGGGGGAGTATCTCATACCTGAAATGGCTTCCACACCTTAATTAGATCTAGAGGCAGCTCAGGACCCCAAACTGGCCTTTCCAAAGGAAGCTGTGGGGGTAGCCCTATAGCGTTCATAGGCAATTTTACCCCTTTAGGAGTTCATGGTGACTTCTGGAATTAATATAACAGAGGCACTGAGCCTCCTTACCACCTGCCCTAAGTAAGCTGCTGTGAACTTCTGCCCTCCTACCTCCTGGGAGCTTACTTATAGCCTTTTGTGTTTAGCAAGGGCAGCATTCAGCTTTTTGGGCTTCATTAAGATAGGTTGTAGTATCTCTTGCTCCTCTCTATATGGTCAAGGTTACTTCTTATTATAGGGTAATGGCCAGCTGATCACCTCTACAACAGAATTTTCTGTCTCAAGGGTCCCTAGCTAAAGGTAATCCTGAAGAGTCAATAGAGCAGACACTGGATTCAGGGCCTTTGGTAAATGAGCAGGTGTTTTGAGCTTGGGTCAGATGAGGGGGAGCCAAATCATTAGTTCCCAGAGTCCTGGAAAAGTTCCAGACTGCTAGGAAGCATATATTGTGTGAATATTACAAACCATGAAGCAGTATCTGATATCTTGAGTCAAAAAAGATCTCAGCAGGTTGAAACACTGACCAAAATCTAATGAGATGAAATTTAATATGGACAAATGGAAAGCCATTATGCTTTGGTTTAAAGAAATAAATTTTGAGGCCTTCTGAGTTGAGTGTACTAAAAGTTCTTTGAGACAAGAGTTTGATCTAGCCAGTGGAATAAAATGCTAACGTGATTATAGATGGCACCAAATGTAAATCTGTTGTTCAGAACAGGACAATTGATGATCCCCACTCTACCCAGCCTTTATCAGACCTCATGTAGAATAGTATGTTCAGTTCTGGTTACCTTATTTTTAGGAAGGCAAGTGACCAGGATGGTAAGGGAATTGGAAACCATGCTGTACAAGGGGGATCATTTGAAAGAACTGCCTAGAGAAGAGAAGAAATTAGAGCGGGTCCAGTAGTCCTTGGAGATCTGGGAAGACTCATGTGAAATAATGCAGAGTGAAGTAGGACACATAGGTAGTACAGTGGATAGAGTGCCAGAGTGTCAGCCTGGAGTCAGACTCATCTTTGCGAGTTCAAATCCAGCCTTAGACACTTACTAACTGGGTGACCCTGGGCAAATCACTTAGCCCTTTTTGCCTCAGTTTTAACTCATCTGTAAAATGAACTAGAGAAGGAAGTGGCAAACCACACTAGTATCTTTGCCAAGAAAACCAGATAGAGTCACAAAGAGTCAGACACCCTGAAAATCTACTGAACAACAAAATGACATGGGTGTGAAGTTGATTTTTGAACCCATATAAAAGATGGGGGAGGTGTGGCTCCTAGCAAAAAAATCCGGAGCTTTTAATGGATTGTAAGCTGAATATGAATCAATAGTATGATAATGCGACCAAAAATATCCAGATGTAAGCAGTATTCAGAGTCAGGTCTGCCTTGGTTAGATCCAGTCTGGAATGCTGTGTTGAATTCTTAACATCACATTTAGGAAGCAGTTGATAAATTGGAGAGGATTCTGAGAGGGGCTAGCAGGATAGTGAACAGCATCAGGATTGTGCCATGTGAGACTGAAGGAACAGTTTAATTTGAGGAAGAACAAACTTTGGGGCAGCAAGATAGTTGTCAATGAATGAGGCTAAGTAAGAACTGAGGCAAAGAATGGTCTCTTAACCTATTCCAGAAAAAGAAAGCCAAAAACAAAATCAGTCTGGGAGGGGAAGACTTAAGGTTGTCTGGCCAAAGCAGAAACAATAGCTGTATATGCTCACTCTGAGCCATTGTAGGCCAAACAGTGCCCAAGTGGGGCTTAGGGGGGGACCTATTTTAGCCAATCTAAGAGAGCCAGAGTGATTTGGGTTTAAGGCATGGTGCTTAGAAAATAAATCTACCCATAAATCCCAAGGTATCTCAAGAGGTTTCAGTGATCAAAATTTATGTTCCTTTGGGTAGAGGACCTGCAAGTTAAGGGTATGATTCTCTATGGGGACAGAGGGAGAGGTAGACATTGGGGGCTGCTCACAAGTCTATTTTCCCAAAGTCTGTTTGGGGGATGATAGAAGAGTTTTTCCACTGAGGGGTCTTGGCCAGGAAATTATGTGCCTAAGTCAGTTATTATTCTGGTAACTAAGTTTCCAACCACAGAATGAATTATTGGAACTCCTCTTCATTAGTAAAGGTATTCTGTCATTATAATAACTAACCAATTTGTCCCCTCCTTTTAGTGTGGATTGATTTAATAAAGCATCAATTCTCAAAATGTGATCCATGGACCCCTTGAGGTCCTGGATACCCTTTTAGGGAGTCCTCTTGGTCAGTACTATTTTTTTTATAATAATAGTAAGATGTTATTTGTCTTTCAAAGTACTTCTCCCTTTTCCAGAAACATGTGTTGCCAGCATATGGCAATCAGTTGAATGCATAAGCAGATATGAGAATTCAGCTATTTCTTTTTAAGCCAGACATTTAAGAGATTTGTAAAAATATGTAAAATAATGCCACTTTTCAAACTAAGTCATTTTTATTTTGGCAAATGTAGTTTTTTCTCACAAATATTATTTATGTTAATTTAATGGATTTATTGTTTTAAAATGAATTAATGTTCTTCAAATGTATTTTTTAATTTCTAATTTTGATAGAACTCAAATGAACAAAAGCTGTTGGAGGGTGTCCTCAGTTTTTTTGTTTTTTGTTTTGTGAGACAGTCGGGGTTAAGTGACTTGCCCAGGGTCACATAGCTAGTGAGTGTTATGTTGTCTGAGACTGGATTTGAACTCAGAACCTCCTGACTCCATGGCTGGAGCTCTATCCACTGTGCCACCTAGCTGTCCCTGTCCTCAGTTTTTAAGAGTGGAAAAGGGGGTCCTGAGACTAACAAGTTGGAGAACTTACTGTGATGATCTGTTTCCCTCTTAGCCAGCCCTGTTGATTTTCTTATGCTTTATTTTTAAATTCCACCAACTGTATTTCACAGGTGATCTGTGTCCATGACGTTTCTTCCATTTACCGAGTCCCTCTGTTACTAGAAGAGCAGGGTGTTGTGGATTACTTCCTTCGAAGACTTGACCTGCCAATTGAGAGGCAACCAAGAAGGATGCTGATGAAGTGGAAGGAGATGGCTGACAGGTGTGTGTCACAACCAGAAAGAGCTTTGGGTACCCAGTCTTATTTCTGCCTTAGAGCCCACAGGGCTGCTATCAGCAAAGACTCTCTGTCGCATTGTAGTCACTTACTTGCTCCATTGCCACTTATCTTTCGAAAAAAGAAATTTAGTGACCTTTGTTTATGGCTGCTGTTCATTTTTCCCCAGAAACTCATTCGTTCAAGCACTTTGCATAATAAGGTGTCTTTGAGATCTTGTTATATGAAGAGCTAGTCACTAGACTTTTTGAATTTTTTTTGTGTTTGGAGCCCTGGGATGCACTTAACAAACATGGAGAATGTATTTCTGACCTACTGTCTAGTATGGATTACTGAGGTGTGAAGGTCTTGCACATGGAACAAAGCAAAGACTCAATGGAGGAGTCAGTGGACCTTTAATCCACAACTAAATGTTTCTCAACTCTGGGGAAGGCTTTGACAAGCTTGAATTTATTGGAATGGGACACACCTTTGGGAAAATCAAGGAGATATTCTTTTCTTCAAAGAATCAGATCAGATCAAAGTTTCTGTTGATGAAAACCTATTTTGGACTTAATCTGGTTACATTTAAGTGTACATGCCAGTTGTTAATTTTTTTGATAGGAACTGGATAACAGCTAGCTCTTTGAGACTTCAGGACCTTTGCCGAGATTGCCCTAAGTTTTATTTTCTGAGTGAGCATGGTTTTAGGTTTTGGAAATTCACATTAGAATTCAAAGCAGTTTTTATTTGATCAAGCAATGTTTCTTGATGATCCTGCCTCCTTCCCTCCCAATTACTTATCTGTAATCCTTCATTTGGACTCATTTGGAGGTTTTTGGCTTCAGGCTGAATGCCAGGGTGAGTGGGATATGGGGGAAGGGGAGCAGCTCGCTGTAGCTATGGTAATGGTCACTATGACAAGTTGGCAGCTGTTGATGAGGATTACTAAAAGAGAGAAACCCAGAGCATCTTTATGAAATAGGGGAAATAAGAACAATCTAGGCTAACCTAGATGTTGTAACTTTTCTAGGGGCTACTGTTGAGCTAGATTAGAGATGCATTAGCTTGGGAGGCTGAAGACCTAAGTGTAATCTCACTTCTTCCATTTACTATCCATGTGACCCTCAACCAGTCACTGAAGCTTTCTGGGCTTCAGGTTTCTCTCTGAAAAAGGTGGTTGGAGTAGATGACCTCCAAACACTATAATCTGTGTTCCTCTGCATGCTTTCCTTTTTCTACCCTGAAATTATATTTCGAGTTTGAATTAAACCATTTTAAGGCTAGGAGAAACAGGGTACCATAGGCATCATCTGACTAGATGATAAACCTCATTTTATGTTTTAGGAGAAGCTGAGGCTCCAACCCAGTTCAGTGTTCCTTGCATTTCTTCCCACTGTCTATGCTAAGATGACTCTTTAAACCATTACCACCACCAGGAAGTCATTTAAACATCGTGCCTAGTGGCAGTAAACTACCCCTGCATTTGGTACCCGAAGCCTCAGAAGCTAGAATTAGTGACGACCTGGCAGGCAGAAATAGATGGCGCTGGAGAACTGCGTCAGATTTGGCCCTGGTCCTTGAGGCTTTGCTCAACTGTGTTGGTTTCCTAGGATAGACACCTTCTGCATCATGGCTTCATTCTTTAGAGCTCCTCTCTGCCGCCTCATTTTACTTCACTTCTTAGAGAGGTTAAGTGATTTGCTCAAGTTCACACAGGCAGGCAGTGGCAGAGCTAGCATTCAAACTAGTCTTCTGCCTCCAGATTCAGGGATCTTTTTATTGTTGGGCTGCCTCTTGGAACCAAGGCTTTGTCTTATTAATTTCTAAACTTTGGCTTGATTATCAAGCCCTTGTGTTAAGACACTGAGCCCCCTGACCTGGTTAGGCCTGAGTCTGCTTGGCTTCCTGGATTTGGAGCTCTGTAGCACTTGAATTTCCTTCTGTACCCTCTGGCTTTGCCCACACCATCTCCCCTTTATTGCCCATTTTTGGAGATAATGCTAAGGACTGTTCACATCTAGGAGCCATCTTCCCCAACGTGTTCTGCAAGGTTGCCTCTTGGTACTGTTGCTACCAAGGGGCCCAGCAAGGGAGCTCTTCCATGACCCCAGCCAATCGAGTCAGACCTGTTTTACCTCACCTCCCCATGGCATACAGAGCACCTCTCGTCTCAGAAAGTACTTACTTTCTGCCTTTTCCTCCCAAGCACTTGTATTTAGTGTTGGCTTTTGGACTTGCAGGTATGATCGTTTGCTGGAAACCTGCTCCATTGCTCTGGTTGGCAAATACACCAAATTCTCGGACTCCTACGCCTCTGTCATTAAAGCCTTGGAGCATTCTGCCCTGGCCATCAACCACAAACTGGAAATAAAGGTGGGTGAGGCGGTTGCAGTGGGGGGACATGGAGAGGCTCATGGCTTATAGTTTGGAAATGTCTTCTCAGTCAAGGACTCATATTGGAGGTTCCTTAAACTAGTGTGAGAGACATGTGTTTTAAGCTTGCTGTTGTGTTAAGGGGGACCTTTGAAAACTGGGGTGCCAGTAAGTAATAACTTCTGTCAAAAAATTCTTATTTCTGTAGCATGTCTAGTTTACCATTCTCTTTCCTCATCACCCCCCTGTGAGATAGCATCATTAATTTAAAGGAAGAAAGGGAGCTCAGAGATCATTTAGTCCAACTCCTCGGTTTTAGTCATGAGGGCAGTGTGGCCTGAAGAGGTTACATACTCACCTGAGGTCACATGGATCAGATACCTTATTCAGGGCTGGTATTCAGACCCAGCTCCCATGACTCCAGATGCATGCAACTCTCTTTTCCCTTTCAGCAGTTAGAGAGGCAAACAGCATGGCTTAGTGTCAGGAGTACCAGACTCAGCTACAGGAGGTACTTGGGTTTAAATCCTATCTTGGGTACTGTGTGATCACAGGCAAGTCATTTAATGTCTCTGAGTCTCAGTGTACTCATCTGTAAACTACAGACATTAATATCTGTTGTATCTGCCTTGCAAGATTGTTCTAAGGGTCAAATAAGGAAATGCACGTAAAGTACTTTGCAGATCTTAAAAATGTCATTTATTATTGTACCATGCTAGTGGGGGGAGTCCATTATTCTCATTTTAAAGTTGAAGAAAGAGGTTTATAGTGGGAAAGTGGCTTGTTTGGGTCGTACAGCTAGTAAGCCAGAACTAGAACAGACCAACTCTGGCAAGAAATTGTGTGTGTGTGTGAGAGATGTGACATGATGTGAGATGTATGGTAAGGGGTGTGTGTGTGTGTGTGTGTGTGAGAGAGAGAGAGAGAGAGAGAGAGAGGTGAAGTCTGATAACCTCATGGATGTTCAGAAGCAGTTGCTTGCATGTTTTTTGCTTGGCTAACCCTTGCTTCTGAACGATGGTAGAAAGCAAAATGGGAGGGAGTTTATAGAAACCTGCTTCATCATTTTCCTTGGAGCATTGTTCCCTTCTCTGAAGGACTTTAGGTTTCTGATAGGCACTGGGCATTTAGGCTGCAGCTGGTCATCTTCAGGAAACAGTGAAGGAGAAAGATAAGATAGAGAAGTAATTCTGGGACAGATCTAGGGGGCAGGAAGTATCAGGTGACCAGGTCTAAGAGCCACATGGAAATAGAGCAGGCCTGGGCTGGCAGAAAGCACTGATGTGCTACATCCCCTCTCCTAACTGCCCACATCCTTCAGGTAGAGCTTGTTTCCCCAAACCCTATTTCTTGGCATTGCCATAATGGTCGGGTTCCTCCTCCTATCTCCCAAGAATGACAGCCAGAGCCCATCCTGAAATGACTTTGTTAGGAACCCAGTGTAGAGGAGGGCCCCTTCCCAGAGCTGGAGCATTCTCGATTGACAGAGTTAGGGCACCAAAGGACTTGTGTCTATACCTAAGTAGGCGGGGGAGGGAGAGCTGTCCTTTGTGAAGGAAACAGTTTTGTCACGTGAACAGCTTCTCTGCAGAGCTCCTCAGCTCCCATGGATTTAATTAGCTCTATGCTGACAGTTCTCAAATCTACTCTACTGATCTTGCCTCTCTGTTGCCCTCTAGTCTTGCATCTCCAGCTGCCTTCAGACATCCGAATCTGACATCCAGTAGACATCAAGACTGGACATTTCCAAAACATTTTCCCCTTTACCTTCCCCGCCTCCTACCTTTCTAATTACTGTAAACCCATCCTCCCAGTCCCTCAGGCTCCCAACCTAGGAGTCTTCCTGGATTCCTCATTATCTCTCACCCCATATATCCAAGCTGTTGCCAAGACCTGTCGATTTTACTTGTGCAGCATCTCTTGAATTCTCCCCCTTCTCTCCTCTATCACTGTCATCCTTAGAGCAGGCCCCATCACCTTATGCCTGGACAATTGCAATGGCTGCTGGTGGGTCTGCCTGCCTCAAATCTCTCCCCACTCTGATCCATTCTCCATTTGGCCACTAAAGTGATTTTCCTAAAATGTAGGTCTGACCATGTCATCCCTCCCTCTCACCCCCTCAGCTGCACCCCCCTACTCAGTAAATTCCAGTGATTTCCTATAAGACACCCCATATCTCTGCTCCAGGCATTTTCTCTTCCGACCTCCATGTCTGGAATGCTCTTCTTCCTCTGCTGTGACTAATGACCTCTCTCCCTGGCTTCCTTTAAGTTCCAACTAAAATTCCATCTTCTAGAGGAAGCCTTCCCTAGCCCTTTTAATTATTTTTCATGCTATACCTGGTTTGTTCATATGTTTGCTTTTTATTCCTCTCATCCCTCCCCCCCTTTAGATTGTGAGTTTGTTGAGGACGGACACAGTCTTTTTTTTGCCTCTTTTTGTATCCCTGGTGCTTAAAACAGTACTTTGCACATAGTAGGCTCTTAATAAATATTTGCCTAAATTCCTAGGCCAGCTACCATTATTTAGTACTCTATTAATTCTTGCTGGCATAGGTAAATTTCAGATTAGGAGTATGTTCCAGCTTGCAGAGAGAGAGAACCTCTAATTATATTAGGAAGGAGAAGATGTGTAATAAACATCATGACAAAGCCAAATCACTGTTTTCATGTGTCTGCTTTTAAAACAAATTTCCCCCTTTTCTGGCTTTTCCCCCAGTATATAGATTCAGCTGACTTGGAACCAAGTACTTTACAAGAGGAACCTGTCCGATATCATGAAGCTTGGCAGAAACTCTGTAGTGCCAAGTAAGGAATACTTTGTGCCTTGGGTTTTAAGAAGAGCTGGTCCTAGGCAGTGCTTAGTCAAAGCCTTCATGTGCCAGGGGTGGAAGGGAAAGGGTATATAGTCTGCTTTCCTGATCTGATGTCAGTGACACGTGCCTCTTGATAAGATGAAGAGGAGTTTGACACAGTAGCTGGTGTTGAGTGGCTTCCCAGCATCACAGTAGGCACTGCTCGAAGCCAGTTAGATAAAGCTTTGTAAATCCTGGGTCCCTTTTTGTGTGTTGGTCCCAGCAGGGTTCCTTTAGAGACTTAGTGGGTCCAAGCTGGAAGGGCAGAGGATGCCAAATGACTGGCTTGATGTCACACTGTTTACTGTGCAAGGGGCAGAGCCTAGACTTGAACCTGGGCTTCTGGCTCTAAGGCCAACAGATGCCCTTTCCCACTCATGGTGAGCCACACTGCTGCATTTGTCAGACAGCATGCTTTTTAAAACCCCAAAAGCAAAACACACCCATGTTTTAGTGTCTCTGTTAGGGTTCCTAGAGTGTTAAACCTGTAGAAAGAAGATAGGCAAGGGGAGCCTGTCTGTGCACTTGTTTTGTTTCATGCAGTGGAGTGCTGGTTCCAGGGGGGTTTGGTGTTCGTGGAACAGAAGGGAAAATTCAAGCCATCTCCTGGGCACGGAAACAGAAAAAGCCTTTCTTAGGTAAGAGGTTCAATAAAATTGATGTAGGACTCACCTGGAGCAGGTAGGGGGCTGGAGAGGTGCCCATTGGGAGCCCATCGATAAAGCATGGGTGGTTATTAACAACCACACTAGCGCCCTCATTCCCATAGCATAGCTAGAAGGAAGCTTCATTTCTTGGGAAAAATCCAAACTCCCTTTTAGAATAGAATTTCTCAGCTTGGAACTTACCTTCTTTTCTTTCCAGGGGAGGGCTGTGTGGGTTTTAGGAGAGCTTGGGGAGAGTGAAATACCAATTGAAAGCTCCCTTCTCTTCCCCCCTCCCAAATAAATGCAGTTGTTTTACAGTGCTCAGGAGATCTAATGTATTATCTGCTCCTAAATTGAGATACAAATTGCCTCTAATTGCAGGGCTTCTTAATGCATTGAGTTGTAGTAATTTTCACCTTGATTAGTTGCAAATAGGAAGCTTAATGAAAGGAAGGAAACTTGAATTTCTAAAACCCTTTATGGCAGGAACACTGCTTGTGTTCAAGCCTTGAAGTTCCAGCTTGCCACAGTCAGAAGTTTTCTCTTGCATGCTCTCGGTGCCCCAGGCTTTTTAAAAATAAGGCATGAGGTCCAGGTCACATAGGCTAACGATGCTTGACTGACTCAGAAAATTTTGACATTCTATGGGATCCTGACCCCAGAGAGCCTCACTTCCCCAGGCAGGCTTTACTGACTATATTTGTGGTCTTTTCTCCTTTGTGCTGTGGCAGGTGTGTGCTTAGGAATGCAGCTGGCAGTGGTTGAATTTTCACGAAGCGTTCTGGGTTGGCAAGGTATGGCTAAAACCCCTTCTTGCTTTCTTAACACTTCACTGGGATCAAGGCAGCCATCAGGCTAAGAGCTATGTGTTATCACTGGAGCATTCTGTGCTGTGGGGTAAGCACCCGAGTAGTTATAGTAGTAGTAATAATAATTCCTATTTTGGGAGACATATTGACTTATAAGACAGCCGTCCTAGGAGGTGATATAATGTCCCCTCCTCATTTATAGATGAGGAAACAGGCTGAGAGCTGGAAAGCAGCTTCTTCAAGGTCACACAACCAGTAACTGGTGGAGCAGTGTTCTCTTGACTCTAGTTCCCAGGGCTCTTCACCTGGCTGCCTAAAAAGACATGTCAGACGTCTGCTGTCACAGAGTTTATAGGCTAGCTGAGGATACAAGAAACACGCACACAAAAAGTTGTCCAAGAGACATTACAAAGCTGCTTTATCATCACAGTGGTCCTGGTTCTCCTTCTACACGTTTTAGATTTCAGGAGATAGTCACAGATTTGAGAAAAAGGAGATAGGTGTCATTCTCTTGTTAATAAGAGAGACTAATAACAGCTAACATGTATGCAGTGCTTTATAGAGATGTATACAGGTTAATATAGGTGTGTATACAGTCACATCTGTAGATAAACTATCAAGACCGAGTTTCATTTGGTCCTCACTGCAGCTCTGTGAGGTTTAGGTGCTCTTATTCGCATTTGATAGATTCAGAAACAGGATCCAGCAGTATTACTCTGAAATAGTCATCTCTGCCAGTCTTGCTGAGAGCAGGGAAAAGAGAGTTCTAGCTAAAGTATAAGAGTACCAGTCACTGAGCTGCTTGCAACTGTTTCTTCTCCTAAAAGAAGGATTTTGGTTTTCACAGATGCCAATTCAACAGAGTTTGACCCTAAGACAAGTCATCCTGTGGTAAGCCTCTCATATTGACCCTCTGACCCCTATTTGACTGGGTTCTTTTGTAAGTGAATTGGGAATGCCAAGCAAGCCCTTGCCCTCAACCCACCCTCTTTGGCTCTACTGAGGCTGAGAGACAGATGCACCTGGTCCTTTCAATTTCCTGTTATCCAAAAAGGTACAAGCAGCGTAAGATAGTAGATAGCTAAAATCTTCCAAATTAGTTTGAGAATCAGTTTTGGTGACCAGTCATTTCCTCCACTGAAGTGGCGTAACATCAGAGCTGCCTTCCTATATGTGCTATAAGCTGCTAGGAAGGAAAGGATGAAAATAGCCACCAAATCTATGGCCACTTCTCTTCTGTATTCTTAAGACTGTGTGTTGCCTAACTTCCAGGTAATCGACATGCCAGAACACAATCCTGGGCAAATGGGCGGCACCATGAGACTTGGCAAGAGGAGGACCCTCTTCCAAACGAAGAACTCAATCATGAGTAAGAAGAGCTTCTTTTGACCTGACCCTTTAGCTTGAGGCAATCTGGGCTAGTGCTGAGAGGCTGAAAAGATACCTTAACAGATCTGCTGCTCTTTCTTTCTGATGTGATTTGTTCTTGCCAAGACTTGGTTTCTAAGAGGGAGTGGACATGTTCTTTGTAGCAGGAGAGTGGAGCAGAACTATGGCTGGAAGCTTTGTGGAGGCAGATTTTGATTTAATATAAAAACTTTTCCTCACAACTAGAGTGTATTCCAAAGTGAAATGGGATTCTTTCTGGAATTGTTCAATGTGGGGCTAGAACACCACTTGATGGTTTTGAGGAGAGGACCGTTAATGCTTTGGATGAGGTTTGGCCTGAGTTCCACCAAACCAGTCTAAAATATGTTCTGTCTACCATTTTCATCCTAGAGAAGCAGCAGTAACAGTGTCCTTTTGTGTCTTGATATTTGTACAGCTCAGGAAAGTGACACATACCAGTGAAGGGTGCTGTGTTAGCTGTGAACATACCTGCCTAGCTTAGTTTCTTTCAGGCTCTGGACAGATGAGTAAATGGGCACATCCCACCTATTATTACTGGGTTCTTTGTTGACAGAACAGCTTAATATGACACGATGCCTATCAGCATTGACATGGAACAGATGCCTGTGTGCTGGCCTTGGGGGTACCCTCCCAAAGCAAGATATTTTCTATTTTATTAACATTATGTTTGGGGAATAAGTTGTTTCTGTTGCCTTTTCACTGTGAGTGTTCTAAAGCTGGCAGAAGTCGTAAAGTCTCGGGACTGGCTCTTGTGCTGTTAGCAATAGGAGAGCCCTAGAAGGGGACATGTGTTCATGGAGACCCAGACGCTGAGCTAGGAAGGGGCTGTAAATAAAGTGATTCTGGAAATTGAGGCTTTTACAGGAGTGTGAAACAGTGGCCTGCACTCTGTTCCCTTTCTAGGAAAGCTGTATGGGGATCCCGATTACTTGGAGGAAAGACACCGGCACAGGTTTGAGGTATGCATTGGGGCTTCTGCAGCCTCCTTTCTGTCTTCCTAGAAGCACCATGTCACTGAAGGAGAGTTCTTTTTTTTTTTAATAAATTTATTTTTAGTTTTTAATATTTACTTCCACAAGATTTTGAATTCTATATTTTCACCCCATCTTGCCCCTCCCCCACCCCAAAATGGCATGCATTCTGAATACCCCTTCCCCTAGTCTGCCCTCCCTTCTATCTCTCCCCCACCTTCTCTTATCCCCTTCCCTGAAGGAGTGTTCTGTACCTCCAGGTGAATCCAGTCTTAAAAAAGTGTTTGGAAGAACAAGGCTTGAAGTTTGTGGGCCAAGATATTGAAGGAGAACGAATGGAGATTGTGGAGCTGGAAGGTAAGGACTTAGGCAGTAGGATTAATGGCAAGTTTATAATTTTTCATATTTGACAAAAATATCTTTAAAAAAAATTTAAAGAGTTTTGTTTTGCTTTGAATCATAAAACTGAATTCATTTGTGTAGGGGGCCCCCAGTTAGACAACTCCTTTAACCAGTGCAGATTGGCATCTTCTTTATAATCTTAGGTGCCAGGAGGGTCCCACCTCTAGTAGATGTCAGAGGAAGGATTGGAACCAAGCTTTGTGACTCCTAGGTTGGATCTCAGTTCGAGAGAAGTATGGATCCACCTGCCACATATATAAACTAACCCAAAACTTTATCAACAAAAATAATCAGATATAAAAATAAGGAGAAAAATCTTCCATAGATTCCTTAGCGTTTAATGGGGTAGAACTAAAGACCAAGAGAGTTGGTGCAACAAGCAAAAATGCTTTTGTCTTGTACCTCTTCTAGGACTGTTTGAAGTTCTGCTCTGGTAGTTATTTTTCAGTATTTCAACCCTTAGCCTTGTAGTCCTGGAAAGGGCAAGAAAGAAGAAAAGTGAATTCTGCAGGAGGTTAGGAGCAGTGGTGTTGGTAACTCCCCACATTTGTTATGCTCCCTTTTCAGAAGAATGTAAAAGTCATTGTGGAAAGTACAGTAAGTCCAAAATCCTTAATATTCCAGCCAGGTCCAAATGGAGATTAAACTTGGCAAGAGGGTGTGTATGTGTGTGTGTGTGGGGGGGCAGGGTTTATTCCCTTTTCCCTAGGCTTGGGATCTGGTTTATTAATCCATTTTTAAAAAACCAAACATTATTTTCAACCACATGCAAGGCACTATACTCAGAACTGAGGGTGCAAAGATAAAATGGGGGTCAAAAGACAGGTAAAACATGCATGACACCACAAGGGGTAGAATGTGATCTGAGAAAAATGCTAGAAGGAAATTTAATGAGGGAAAGAAGACCTGCAGTTGTTTAGGGAGAGTAAGGAAATAGCCTTGAAGGAAAAGAATGAGGAAGGGATCATTGCAGGAATTGGGGCTGGGGCAGGGGGGGGACAAAATTGGATGGCAGAAGATCATAAAACAGTTTGGCTGAAACGAGAAAGGTAGAGGGAAGGTTGTTGTTCAGTCATTTTTCAGTTGTGTCCAACTCTTCGTCACCCCATTTGGGGTTTTCTTGGCAAAGATACTGGAACAGTTTGCCATTGTCTTCTCCAGATCATTTTATAGATGAGAAACTGGGGCAAACAGGGTTAAGCGACTTGCTCAGGTCACGTAGCTAGTAAGTGTCTGAGGCCAGATTTGAACTCAGGGAGGTGAGAATTCCTGGCTCCAGGTGGTGCTCTGTCCACTGCATCACCTACCTTCCCTAGAAGAAGGGAACAAGTATTTATTAAGTGCTTACTCTATGCCAGACACTGCGAAGTGCTTTGCAAATATTATCTTATTTAATCCTCACAAGCTATCCTGTGAGGTGGGTGCTATTATCCATATTTTATAGTTGAGTAAACTGCTTTCAGACGAGTGACTTACGCTGTAGTCATTCAGCTAGTAAGTGTCTGAAACTAGATTTGAACTCAAGTCTTCTGACTCCAGGCCTGGCACTCCATCCACAGTTGCCACTGACCTTAATTGTATAGTGGTTCTACATTTCAGTGAGGAGTAGAATAAAATAAAGTTGGAAAGATATTTTGGAGGACATGTAGAAGGTTTTAAATGTCAGGCTAAAGAATTTATATATTTGAATGATTTTTTTCTAGGTATTCTCATTACCTTTAATTAGGTTGTTTCAATGATATTCTTTTATTCTGCTACCCCAAAAAAAGAGGGGAAAAAAACGATTGTGTAACAAATAAACATAGTCAAACACATCTACACATTTGCCACGTCCAAGATATTTTTCTTGTTCTGTACCTTAGAGTACATCGAAGTATGTAAGATAAGATAGAGTATACCTGTAAGTCTCCCTTATGGTGGGTAGTGCTTCATCACTGGTTCCCTTGAGCCATAGTTGGTTAGTGCATTGATCTGCGTTCTCAGCTCTTTCCAAATTGTTGTTCTTTAAGGTATCATTACTGTCTAAGTTATTCTTCGGGTTCTTCTTATTTCACTCTGCATCAGTTCATACGAGTCTGATTTGGAGGATTCTTGAGGAAGGGTTGAAAAGGGAACAGACTTGATTCAGAGATACCAGTTAGGAGGCCTGGGTTTTTACCTGGGGAATGGGAGAGCACAAGTGTGGGAGTCAGGAGGACACACACACGAAGCAGAATCAGCAAGACTTGGTGATTCGTCAGCTGGATGTTCATAACATAAATTGGCTCTTTTCGATTTTTCAGATCATCCATTTTTTGTTGGCGTTCAGTATCATCCCGAGTTCTTGTCCAGACCAATCAAGCCGTCTCCCCCTTACTTTGGCCTCTTGTTGGCCTCAGCTGGAAGGCTCACTCACTATCTCCAGAAAGGCTGCAGACTCTCTCCCAGGTGCGAGTCTTCCTTGCCTGTCTTTGGTGCCTTGCGGCTGGTTGCTGATGAGCTCAGAAGACAAGCCAGAGGGAACACACGTACCCTCTACTCCATGGGTGCCTTTCTGATTTTGTGTATAGGTTTGTCCTCCTACGATGTGGATTTTTTTCTTATCCAAGTTTTGTTATTTTTTTGTTAAAGCACTTTTCTCTTTGACAGCCCTTGGTTGTCTCTCCTCTACTCCACAGTGTTTGGGACGTGGTGTCCCAGTTGTATGGAGCAGCTAGGCCTGGGGTGTCTCGATCGCCGTGCCTGGGAAGGATTTATTGCTGCAGGGAGCCTAAATATAAAAATCTGCACGCATCCTCCTCATTTTTACAGAGGTGGAAACTAAGGCCCAGATAGGATGTGACTTGAAAAATTGCACAGCTATTAAATGGCAAAAATAGTCTTGAGTTGTCAGCTGGGCGACAACAGAATAGCTGTAGTTTTTTGGGGAGCACAGGTCACCACGCCTTAAGTCATGTCTTCTCTGATGCTATTGCTGCCGCCATATCTAAAAGGTAAGTGCCTCAGGAAGCAAAGCAAGGATATAGGCAGAGGTGGATGGTCTGTACTGGGGTAGGATTCTGGAACAGATAGTGACCATGAGTAATGGAGGTAAGGTGTGGTCTTTGTAGGGGATCTTTAATAGAATTTTCTGGATTCTGCAGGGACACCTACAGTGACCGGAGTGGGAGCAGCTCTCCTGACTCTGAAATCACCGAGTTGAAGTTCCCATCGATAAATCATGACTGATGCCTGGTAATGTCCCTTAACAGTGTTGGTTTGCTTAGTTGGGTTTGTATAAAGATGTGATACATAGGACAGTGCTGAGCACCACCTGGCTGGGAAGGCCATGCTTTTGGCCTAGAAACGACAATCCAACCACCACATCTTTTCCAGTTCAGAAGTTAGGAAAGCATTGAGGTAGGATGTGTGTCTCAGTAGAGACACGGCTGCTGAAGACACAGGCGTAGACACGTGCCTCTTTCCATACACGTACCACATGTGGTGGGCACCACAAAAACTTGGTGTGAGGATGTCAGGCAATTCCTTGTTGGCTTTGTCTCCCTTTGCCAGCTTAGGGACAGGTGCTAATGATAACCAAGCCTATCTCTTCCAGTAGCATTGTGAGAAAGTTTCAAGTACCATTATCTCCATTTTACAGATGAGGAAACTGAGGCATGGATAGATGAAATGCTTTGCCTAGAGTCCCATAGCTAGGAAGTGGCAGAGCCTGGATTTGAACTCTGATCTTCATGCTGCAGGAGTCAGCAAACAGTCAAGCTTCATTATATTTTAAAATGTAAAAATCATTCTTAGTTCTCAGCTGTACAAAAACTTACTGTGATCCAGGGCTATAGTTTGTTGACCCTGGTCTAGGGTATTGGAACTCTCAAGGCCTCACTACCTAACTCAAGTAACCTTTAACTTCTGTTCTTCCAAGGCTCTCCAGTGGTGACAGAATTGGCCTAATAATAGTCTGACATCCTTGGAAGAAAGCGTCTTTTTGTGTTACAAAGGTCCTCAAACTGCCGTTTCCCCTCTATTGACTGCTGAGTTCATGGCATTTAGTCAGTCTAAGAAATGGGTCAACTCTAGATCTGAAGCAGACCTTGAATCTGTCACATCCTTAGTTTTGTGTGTGTGTGTGTATCTGTTGAGTTGTAAGCTGCTATAGCTTTTTTTTTTTTTAAAGGCAATTGGGGTTAAGTGACCTGCCCAGGGTCACACAGCTAGTAAGTGTTTGGTCTGAGGCTGGATTTGAACTCAGATCCTCCTGACCTCAGGGCCGGTGCTCTATCCACTGCACCACCTCGCTGCCCCTTTGTGTAGGACATAAACATCCATCAGTTTTGTATAGGTGGGGTGGCCAGGGAAGCCACTGGTGGTCAATAAAAAGTGCTGGACCTGGGGTGGACATCTGGGACTCACTTATGCTGAGATGAGTAACCAGCAGAGTGTGTGTGTGTGTGTGTGTGTGTGTGTGCGTGTGTGTGTGCGTGTGCGTGTGCGTGTGCGTGTGTGTGTGTGTGTGTGTGTGTGTAGGGCCCAGGTAAGAGGTGCTTACAGCCTCTCAGTGTGGTAACTGGAAGGTGTATTTATTGGTCTAGCTTCTCTGAAATTCTGAATTCTGGCATCGTTGCTCTGCTTTGCCTATGATGATCTCAAGTACAAAGGCAGATAGTTTGCTACCTAGAGGACTGATGCTACAGTGGGAAATACATTAAACTTGATAGAATCATAGAATATTAGAGCTAGAAGAGAACATCGTCTTAGAGATGTTAGAGAACATCTCGTTCAGTGTCCTCATTTTACAGATGAGGAAACTAAGGCCCAGAGAGAACCTTTCACATGATAGATAGGGGATAAATGGAGCGTTCTTCCCCTGCACCACCCTGCTCCAGTCAGAGGACACTTGAGCACACAGAATTGGAACCTAGTCATGCGATGGGGTAGATGGCGCTCCTGACCAAGCTCGATCAAGACACGTCAGAGGCTGTTTGCATGGGGAATAGGTAATAAGGGTAGGGATGGTAAACCTACCTCGGAGACTTGAAGTAGCTTCAGGACAAGCAGACTGTCTTCTAGGGAGAAAGAGCATGAGAACTGAAGCAGTTAGAGCTCCCTGACAAAAGGGTACTTCTTACTAATCAGTGCACTTCCTGTCCCTGAATGTGTCCAGGCATCAGTCAGATGACTTTCTGTCAGTCAGGGATGCTCTGCTTTTAGACTAGGTTCCCAGAAGTTCCAGGCTCGTTTTCTGAGTCTTTCTTGAACTAGGGCCTGAATTCAGATTTCTTGCTGATGGTTTTGTGGGGAGGATGCCGCAGGGGAAGAGGTGTAAAACGTCTTCTCTTTGTCCAGGGACAACTCTGCCACGGAGCCACTGGATTTGGATGGAACTTACAGCCTTGAATTTACTGTCAGCATTTATGTTTTTTAATTAAAATCATTTTATTACGGGGGAAAACCATTTCCCAAACTTTGTCAGTTATTGCATGTCCCATCGTGTAGACTTGGATGTTCCCCTCCCCCTTCTGTGATGCACTGCCCCCTTCCCAGGCCCTGATGAGTGTGTTGGGGTGCCTAGGGAGATGTTAAACAGAAGGAAGGCTTCAGAGGCAGTGGGTGGCAGCGGTGGCTTAGGTAACCTTTGCTTGAAAAAGTGCTGTTTCTTTCTTCTCCTGTCACCGATGGAGATGCCGATAGGCCCTGCAAGCCCAGCCTTCTCCAGATGGCATGGGCCACAGGGTCATTTGAAAGCTTGTGCTTTATGATAGAGTTCAGGTGAATTGAGACTGTCTCATGCCACCAAGGGAGGAGAAATCCAAGGAAGATTGTGATCTGCTCTGAGCTGGGAAGGGGATCAGCCCTATCTGGGCCCAGTGTACTTGGTGTAAATCATGTGAAATGCCATTAACCCCAAAGCCCTGGGCTGCCTGTTCCAACCTGCCTCCAAGACCAGGAGAGTCCTCCTTGCATCAAGGGGTGGCTTTTAAAAGGAACATAGAACTAACTCCTTCTCAGGCGCTTGGAGGTGGTGACAAGCTTTGCCTTTTAAAAAAAAAAAGCGTGGGGGGGGGTCTCTTCCCAAATGGTGTTAATGTAAGTGTAAGATGCTATTTTCTTATGTGCTGTAACTAGGGATGGAGCTGCCTTCCCACAGTCCTCTAGCCAGACTTTGTGTATTTTGTCAATGGAATAAAAACAAAACTACCCAGTTCTTGTCTCGTCTTCAATGATTGCATTTTACTTCACCCGACAAAGTATCTGTGCATGACCATAAGCCACCATGTATCAGTGCAGACATAAAGGGGTTTTTGAAACTGGATTCTTCCTGAGGAAACAGCTGAATGAATATATGTGGACAGAGGAGAGACTCCTTCCCAGCAAAGTGCTGACACTCGGAAGGAACAGAGAAGGTGTTATGTTCTGCTTGGTTCCACTAGGAAGAACTAGGAACAACGGATGATTATTGCAAAGAGGCAAACTTTGGCTCAAAAAACTCTTTAACAAGCATTGATTAAGTTCCTGCTGCTAAAGGCAGAAAATAAAGACAAGAGAGGAGTGGCCTCTCCCCTCCAGAAGCTCACATTCTTTTCACTGAGATAGCACGTAGACTACAAAGTATATACTGAATAGAGTAATTTAGAGGGGAGGGAGGAAGGAATCAGGAAAAGCTTCCTGGAAAAGGCAGTACTGTAGCCCTGCTTTGAGGGAAACAGAGGCTTCTAAGATGTAAAGGTGTTCAGGGAGGGCATCTCAGCATGGGGGCTAGACAGCTGGTGCAGATACAGAGAAAGGAGGTGAGGACTTGAGTGGGTGAAGGGCAGGAGAATGGAAAAGGCTGCACAGATAGGTTGGAGCCAGGTTGTGAAGGGGGGCCCCAATGAGGGAGTCACTGAGCAGGAGAGACATGGTTAGATCAGTCACTCATCCCCACAGGTCATAGGGTCATAAGAGACCTGAAAAGTCCTCAGGTGGGCTTGGATGATTCCCTTCCTGGATATGCCATGGAGGACCGCTGCCTGGGTACAGACTATAAGTTATGTGACCTAAGCTGTTCCATAGATCCGATGGAGCTAAAGCTGGGGTCATTTAACCCAGCCCTCTCATTTTTTAAAATTTATTTTTGTCAGCCCTCTCAGTTTAGATGAGGACACTTGGGTCCAGGGAGGTTATGACTTGCCCAAGGTCACACTAGTAGTAATTGATCTGAACCTAGGCCTTCTGACTTAAGCCAACGCTCTTTCCATCATGCCACCCCTGACACTAAATCCTGTTTGGTCCTTCTTGACTCCCTATGACATTGCCCATATTACCTGTTCCAAATCTCTTCTTGCCCAACACACATCCACCTTTATAGCAGATGACCTGACCTTAATCTTTAGGAAGCAGATGTACACACCTTCAACTCCATTTCTTTAAAGTATAGTATCACCATTCTTCCTCTCTGGTTACCTCCCCCTCCTGGTGTTTGATTAATTCCTGTATTTGTGCCTTTAATCCCAATTCCCTTCCACTTCCAGGGCCTTGCCCCATCATCTCATGCATATTAAATTTTTTTTTTCTACTTACCTTTTCCCATCTACCTACAAATGCACTCAAGCCTTCCCATTCTAGAAAGGTTTTTCCTGGAAAAACTACTGGCCCTACCTCTCTTCTTCATGACTAAACTTGACAAAGTTTCCTATACGGTATTCTTATTTAATAGCAGCTCGGTGTCACAGTGGATAGAGTGCCTGGCCTGGACTTAGGAAGACCTCAAATCCAGCCTCAGACACTTACTAGCTGTGTGACCCTAGGCCAATCACTTAACCCTGTTTGCCTCAGTTTCCTTATCTGTAAAATGAACTAAAGGAGGAAATGGCAAACCACTCTAGTATCTGCCAAGAAAACCCCAACTGGGGTCAGAGGTGGATATGACTGAAATGCCTGGACAACAAATTCTTAGTTCCCATTTTCCCTTCAACCCTTTGCCAAGATGGCACTACCCCCACTGCTCTACTGAAACTATTTTCAAACATCTCCAATGACAGCCTTCCTAACTGTCAAATCCAATAGTCTCTTTCATTCCTCGTTCTCCCCATTTCTGGCATCTTTCCACAAATGCTTTCCTCCTCTGGCTTCAAAAACCCTGTCTGCTGCTCCCTCATCTCTGACCACTTCTCTCGCCCTCCCCTGGCTCCCTGGGGACTTCCTGACCGACAGGTGCTCCTTAGTTAAAGATCTGGCCAGGGTGGTTTCACTCCTGTCACTTCAGCTCTCTTTTCTACTCTTACCACTAGTCCTAACTTTGCCCCAAACTTTTCCCTGAACTTCAGCCCTGCGTTGATTTCTATTTGCTTTTAGGACAATCCCAGCTGGGTGATAAGCTGGCACCTCAAACTCATGTCCAAAACAAGTCACCTTGTCCCCTAAACCTGTTCCGTCTCTTGTGGTACCTGTTCATTCACCTTCCTGTTTAACATCTTTGTCCTCTTCCCCCCCCACAACCTCTTATCAGTTATCAGGGTTTGGCAGCATCCCTTCCTCTTTTCTTACTTCAGCCACCTTAATCCAAGGTTCCATACTGCTACTGACATGAACTTTTTTTTTTCCAGCCAAAAACAAGGCTTATTAAAGATTTGCCATATTGCCAGACCCTTGAGGAACTGACATAAACTACTGCAATAACCACTGAATAGGTAGAGTGTTCTTGCCTCCACTTGGCCCTATGCTCTGTCAGAAAGAATCATTTTTGTTTGTTTTGTTTTTGGGTTTTTTTTGGTGAGGCATTGGGGTAAAGTGACTTGCCCAGAGTCACACAGCTAGTGAGTGCTATGTATCTCAGACTGGGTTTGAACTCAGGTCCTTCTGACTCCAGGCCGGTTGCTCTATCCACTGTGCCACCTAGCTGCCCCTAGAATCATTTCTTACACATGTCTCTGATCATCATTCCTTGGCTCAAAAATCTTTTCTGGTTGCCCTCTGCCCAACATTCAGAGCCCTCCAGAATCTGGAATGAGCCTACCTTTCAGCTCTCATTCCTTCCTTCTCCACACACTACCCTTCAGCTAACCTGGATCACTCACTTCCCCCTCCGTGTGCCCTGTGCTCTCCCGCCTGTGTGTTTTTTGTTTACCTTCTTCCTATGTCCAGCACGGATAGTCGTCCACCTCAGACTCCACTTAACTTTGTGCCTCTCTGTATTTAGGTAATATTTTGTGCTGTCATCCTTCACCCCACCCCCCCACCAGCCTATTGAGGTCCATGAGGACAAGATCATATCTAAATTTTGTCAGGGCAGAGCCATGAGCTAGGCTCCTGGATAATTAAGACACATGGTGAAAGTTTGTTGGACGGGACTGACAACGGAGCTCTCCTTGGTTTTGAGAGACATGACTGAGTCTGGTTCTTTGAGTGCAGAAAGGACAACTCTATCTACAAGCATCTTCCTTGGGAATTCTGACCCTCACAGGACCATCACATCACCTTTTCCCCTGCTTTGAATGGAGCTGGTGGCTGAGTGCTGAGTCTGCCCTGTGGCCCCAGATCTAGGACCCGGTGCAGCTGCCATTCAAGTCACGACCACTGCCGGCCCAGATATGACTGACTTTATTAAAGAGCTTTGCAAAGAACAATTCCCAGCAGGCCCATGCAGGGAGCAGGCTAATGACGGCTATCACACGAGAATATCATGGACAAACCTATGCTTGCTTGCTAGCTTCCTAGCTTCGCCCCTCAGGGGGCTCCGGGATCCCGATGTCGCTTGAAGATGAAGGAAAATTGGCAGGCAGTGCCAGCTTTCTCAGAGCTGAGGCTGAGAGAAGTTTCCCCTGAAGTGGAGGATGGATAATGAGTCATTTTAAAAGTGACTTTTCCATGCCCCCTACCTGTGCCTCCCCCGGGACAGCACTTCACCAGGCTGGTTTCAAACAGCTGAGAACCATAGGGGAGGGGTGAACAGGGGAGCCTGTATAGGGGCTGCCCCGCTGAGGGGCCTGCACGTGAGTCGGAGCTCAGGTAGAAAGCCTGCTTTCGGAAGAGATGGCGTGATCTGGTTTGTTGCGGCCCCTGCTTCTGGGGTGTGGCCTGTCACATGATGCAGCAGATGCAGGAGGAGGGCTGCGGGCACAGGCTCCGATCCAGCCGTTCCTGGAGATTCTCCTTCTCTATGGTCAGGTCACTGACCCTTTTCTGCAGCTTGTTCAGCTCTGCGATCCATTTCTGAGGACACACAAGTCAGTTAGGGACGGGCAGCCTATGTGGAGCGCTTCACTCCCACTGCCAGCCTGCTAGCTCTTCTTGCCTGGACTGTTGCAAGGCTCTCCTAACTGTTCTGCCTCCACCTCTCCGTTCTTCCCCCTGCCAACCTCACAGCCTGTGCTACTCACCGCGCCACTAGTCATGACCCCTGCTCTAGGTCGCTCCTCTCAACACCTCTCAGTGGCTCCCTGTTGCCTGCTGAGGCAAGTGTACGCTTCTGATCTTGGCATTCCAGGCTCTGCACAATCCACTTCAAACCTTTGTGTCCAACCTGATCTTACTGACCCCTTTCACAGTCTTGCTGTATGTGCCAACCAAAATGGACCTCCTCTCCTTTCTCTGTCTCTCACCGGTCTTTCCATCTGTGTTCATGCCATCCCCCTTACTGGATGGATTTCCTCCCCACCACTATCCTGGCCACTCCCCTCAACCCCCACCCAATTTCTACCTTTTGAAGTCCATCCTTTCACATATTAAGTGCTCCATTCTATCTTCTACTTGAACCTCATGTTATAAGCTGAAAGACTCAAGTCCATTGAGAAGGAAGGGACTTGTTCAAGGTCACACAGCCAGCACGCAGGACTCACATTCAGGTCTCCTAATGCCAGGCCTGCATTTCCTCCCCTACCTAACCCTGGCTAGGCCCTAAAGCTGAAGCCTTATCTCATCTGTTACGTGCTGCCCTTAGAAGATCTGCCTCCCCTTATGGTTTCAACACTTTGCTTTTCAATGACTTTCCTCCTCTAGGAAGAGTTCCCTGACATTCTGGTTACAGACAGCTTTCTCCCTTTGAACACACATAGCCCTTGGCCGGCACCTCTGTGGGGTAGCCTACCTGTATCGTGTATTAAGAGTTGCCTGGATATGTAGGTTATATCACAACTATGCTGTAAGGTTTTTATCTACATGCTGTTTCTCCCCACTGCTGGGCAGCGAAGGCATATCATGAATGTTTAAAGAAGGAGTGCCCAGACT